TCCCAGATGTCATGAAGACATTCGTGTTTGGATGGGGCAAAACGAATATCCAGCAGGTTTTCCGGAAGGAAGAAATGAACGCCATGAGAGATGAACAACTGGAAGCCATGCGGAACGATCCAACATCTGCCATGTTCGACTATCAGGTCTCATCCGCGGAACGCTTCAAGCACGTGAGCAACGATATGTTCATGAATGGCTCACAAGATTCCGACTCGCACAGTCCGCTGATGGTCTACATCCGCAGCAGATCTGCCGCCAGGCAACGCAACTTTGAGAGATCCAAGGAGCACCTCAAGAAGAAGCAATCTTGGACTCAGCAAGAGTACAAAGAGTACAACAAGCAGTACTGGGGCAATCCAAAGCAATGGAAAGACTATGGCGACTCGACCTGGAATGATCATGGAGACTATGGCAGTCAATCCGACAGCAGCCGCCGGTGGTACCGCTGATCACTTGATGAAGCAGCCACCTTTGGCACTTATTCGACCGACTGAGAAGACTCCCACGATCGACACTACGAACTACAACCAGATTGATCCTCACCGCCAACAAGACTATTCAGTGAGAGATCAATAGTTTCACATCCGTCCCGCATGTACATAGCGTTGTGCATCACCTTTTCGATACATCTAGGTATCTCACAAAATCAGTACAGACTGTTTTCCATTTTGCTCACAGGACAAATCATCCGCGCCAAAAATTGGATGAATCATTGTAACAAGATATGGCTACGGCACTTTCAAATATGGCTACGGCACGTAAGGCCAAGAAGCCAATCATACACTTTGGTGTGAAAGGTCAAAAGAAATTTGTGTCTGTTTTCTGTTGCTTTTTGTTGCACATTGACCTATTCGCACACTCCGCTGACATGATGGCTCAAGGCCCTTCAAGTCATTTGTACAGTCATTCGACTCATGGTACATTGATAAAAAGGTTTGCAGACCGCTTTACAGGATTCACAGTCAACACAAGCCACCAGGGACAATCCATCCTCCAATCCTCCATATTGGCATATTGGACTCTCTCCGGAATAGATCCAGGGCGACCTCTACTACTACAGGGTACCAGTTCCCTTCTGGAATAGGCACCCCGGCAGTGGGCCTCACCCCCTCCCCCGCCCCGATGTCCTGAGAGTATGGCAAGTTTCTTGAGTCAAACCCTGGCCCCGTGAAAGGTGGCTTTCAGCATGGCACGAGGGGTTATCTGAGGCGATCAGGCAGGAGGAGCAGCGGGAGAAGCAACGCGTCAAGGACATTTGCTCGAAGTGGTGTCGTTGGTTTCAAAATTCAGGCGTCTTTGGTGCGTTTTGCTTGGATGTTAGGACTTTAGCTTTTTGCCAACGAATGGGTTTTTTTTTTATGAAGCCACTAAAAGTTAAGCTTTTAGCAGGGGAGCAGAAAGCAACCGAGGCGTCCTTAGTTTGTTTGAGCATCATTTGGAGGTGCTTTGCAGCTTAAGACACGGCTGAGTCGGATCGGGACACTGCAGGGCCAGGCGTCGCGTGCGAACATGCCGCCATGGGTCAAAATCCAAATCGTACCCCTAGCGAACATCCCAATCCCCACTACAATCCCGACTAAAATGGGTGGTGCACCTACCTCAAAATGGTACCATTGGTTTTGACCAACAGCCATGTCAATGGATGTTTCATGATGTGGCTGTAGGTCAACAACATGTACCCAAAATGGAATCCTGGTAAATGGAAACATGGACCAAAACCTGCGGTCCCATGGTGGTTTCATTTTGACCAATACCCATGTTTCATGCTTTGACTCACATCGCTAGGACAGTTGATATATTTACACATTGACTAAGTCGGAGAACTCCTGCTTGCCCCAAACAAGGCCACAGGCCAAAACTCCTGCTGTGGCCGGCTTAATTTGACTCAACACGGGGAAACTTACCAGGTCCAGACATTGTAAGGATTCACAGATTGATAGCTCTTGATTCTATGGGTGATGGTGCATGGCCGTTCTTAGTTGGAGTGATTTGTCTGGTTTACTCCGGTTGTCTTTCCTCGAGGCTTGGGCACTCGTTTGTAGCGAGCCCATTGACGCCACGATGACCGTACGGCGAATCCAGCGTTTGGTTGCTTGCGCCGAGTTTTACGGCTTTTAGGCGGGGGCACTTTCTGGCTTCCATTTGGTTAAGACTATTTGTTATTTTCTCCTGTTGGTTTTAAAGGGAATCTATCACTACTGGAAATATGTTTCGTCTTTTTTTCCAGGGGACTTAAGCAAATGGAGGTTGGAGAATTGACAGGCTGCAAGGAGCTCCTCAAGTCACCTGGAGATACCGTTGGGAACTGGTGCACTCAGTTGCTGCAAGTCGAACTGTCTTCGACGTCCATCTTAAAGCTGCACCGGCCCAAGTCCAACTCTGTTTGTGAAGTGCCCACGTGCCCCTTCAATGCTTTCCCCTTCATGCACCACATCACCTCCAGCAGTGAGCCGCGATTAAGCCATGTCGACCCTTTTGATTCTTTGCCATTGAATTTGGGCAAGCCCCGTCACTACCAGGCTTTCATTATGACTCAATTGAGTGACCGGCGCAGCATGGACAACAGCTGGACAACCTTTCAGATGTTGCCTATATATATATATATATATTCCTTTGGCCGTGATCGGAGCACGTTTTAATCGAATACCTTTACACTGGGCTGAGTTCAGCCTGCCAGGAGCAGGAGCGTAAGAAGCGGCGCGAAGCCGAGCGTGAAGCCGAGCAGGAAGCCGCCGAGCAGCAAGCCACTGAGAACGGCGCTTAGGGTCGCCGGCTGCAGATCAGGTAGATATGGGAACTGCATATTCAAAGAAGCCAAGAGGTAACCACCTCAACAACTTGAGGTGGCCACAATGTTCTCCATAATCTATGGAGCTGGGTGCATAGTGAGCTCACCATGAAGAAGGTCCTTTAGTTGGGGATCCAGACCTTCGTTCAGCTGTTGGAACTAGACTAAGATTTGTAGAACATGTTTGCTAGGTCCCCCAGTATCGTGCCCTTTGACCAACTTTTTGGGGGGAGGGTTCCCCTACTAAAATAGAATACAGAAAAAAGTTGGTACCCTTAGTCTAACCTCTCAAATCTGGAGGACCTAGAGGGAAGTCTTCCAGTCCAAAACCAGGAGGGACGCTCCGAAACAGACATGCCGCAAATGCAACAGACCTACCCTCCCACCAACTAACATGGGTTAGTGCACAAACCCCATTTCAAAGAGGAAAGTAGTCTTTCTAAGAGGGGTCTGTGCACTTCCATGTCAGTTGGTGGGAGGGTAAGACCGCAATTTCAGCAGCAATCCCAGGTATTTGCAGCAGCAACCCCCCTGCACGCTTCAACCCTAGCCAGAAGCGGCTCCGAACTGCGAGCAGAAACCCCGGAGCTTTCACGTGGGGAAGAAGAACACATCGAATCTTGGATCAACCGCCGCCAAAACGATAAACAAAAATATGTGACTGTTCGTGTTTGTGGGGCCGAACAATTGAGTCTGCTCATGGCTCAGACAAAGCAGAACATGGAGTCTGGCGTTCGTTTAGTCAGATTATGTTGCAGGATCAGATCCAGTTGAAAAGCTGAGCAGAACATGCTATCCATGCCAGGCAGTGCCCGAGTTGTAAGTTCCAACAACTTGCAGGTTCAAATTTGGATCCTTTCAGTTGGATTTATTCATTCCAACTCCAAATCCCGGCTGCTGTATAACACTATCTCACAGGCGTTTTCCTTATTGTAAAGTCCGGCTCTTGTGGCCAGCTGGGGGGAAGGAGCCTTCTGGCGAGTTCCCAAGTGGCGGACGAGCCTCATCCGCGGCACTGTTTTTTTGTGTTGGGCTTGCTGCACTTGACTATGGCCGTGATCAAATCAGAGCTGCGTGCTCCTTGGTTTGGTGCCGCGCCATCCTATTTCCAACCGCGCCTGGGGTAATGCCAGCGCAGAATCGGCCCACATGCTTCCGTGCTTGTTTGCTTGTTTGTTTCTTCCACGCTTGTTTGTGCAGAGGGCAAGGGGCTGAGAGCCTGGCGCTTTCAATCGCGAAGAAGAAGCTTCGGCCGCGCGCTGGAGTTGCAAAGAGGGGCAAAGCTCCCTGGCGGAAGCCGAAATCGGCGCGTGCGCCGCTCTGGGAGTCAATCTTTGAGCACGAAGCACATTGCTAACGGAAGCCATGCGGGAAATGTGGATGAACAAACTCCTACACCACTTTAAAACCACTTGATCGCCTCACTATGGATGGAGCCCCTGTGACTGTTACTTGAAACCAACCCCTGTGGGAAACCACTTGTTGCCGGTAGGGAACATCATCGATTCCAAGGTTTCTGAACTGCCAGAAGATGTCGCAATCCACAGGTCCAGGTTTTAACTACAACCGGGTTTCAAGTGACGAGAAACTCGGAGGATTTGGGCCTCACTAAAGCGCACTATGTGGCCAGAGAGTTGCAGGTGATAAAGAAAGTCACCCCTGGAGGTCAACCAACTTTCAAAGTCGTGGACCAGATTGGTTTGAGAATGATGTGGTGCAAAGTATGGAATCTTGACCGGACTCAAAAGTGAAATGTTCTGGCTTGATGAGCAAGGGGGGTCCACTCCATTTTCCCTTATCTTGACTGGGAACCTATCTCGCTTGTGTCCATTGAAGCAGAACCTCCTTGCAACACCTGAAACACTTTGTGCGCAGAGTTGAGCACCTGAGAGTTGCACAAGATATCCAGGGCTTGGCTCGGTGACACCTTTGGGTGACAAGGCTCTCTTTGCCCATCGCCGGTGTTTCGGATATGAGTCCAGGGGTTGATTCCTTTTCCATTCTTTTCAACCATCGTTCTTTTCAAAAACCAACTGTTTCCCCTAAAGTTCTGATGGTTTTCTGAAAAGAAGGATCCCTGGAAAGAATGGGGAAGTGTCCCCTAGAATGAGGGGCAATCTCGCTTCTTGTTTGCACTCATTCATGTCCATTGGGGCAGAAAGGTGGCGTGCAACGCTGCAACGGCGTTCAACTCGCTCGGGTTGTCCAGGTGCAGCATGCCGTTCAACTGGAAGTCAAGCCCAAGGCTCAGTGGTGAACACAGCTGGCAACCTTGGGCCATTCGGATATCCAGCCGCATTCGAACCAGGACAAAGACTTTGGATGATGGATATGGGGTTTTGAGGGGGACCATTCACCCTGAGAACGCACCAGGTAGATTCTGGAAACCATGTGAGCCCCAATCACAACCCGGGTAGGACAATCCCAACCATAAACAGCTGCGGCCGCCTTCTTAATTCTTGAAGCATGGCTCTTGGATCATTTTGATACCGGGTTTTGATTCTGACTCAAGTGCCTCCCCCACCCATGGCATCCTGCCAGACCCTTCAGACCTTGGCCTTTTCGGCCCCGTCCGTCAAATCACCCTGAGAACGCAGCCTAATTCACCAGGTAGATTATGGAAACCATATGCTCACATTGGGATCGCCAGATCTGAAGCCAACCTTCCGCCCATGTCACGCTCGATAGTGCGGGGGCATGGGCATCACACAGCCACCATGTGGGTCGGGGGACGAGGCTCAAAATGGTGGTGTTCCTATTGGTCTCTCGTTCAAGCCATCAAAACCGGGGTACCCCCAAAAAAAGACACACCCGTGTTAACTTTGGATTAATCCGGACCCTACTAGTCAGAGAATTTTTGGCAACATATCATTCCCTTACTAAAGGGAAACGGAGACCCATGATTGGTACGGGCAATCCGAAGTTAACATGACTCTAGCGGTTCGGACCGTAAACGTGCACTTCGTTCTAGAATGACCATGCAAGCCATCCTGTTTTGGCAGCATGCCGGATGCAATGTTGTTTGGCTTAGCGGTGGCGATCGATGCACTGCTCCACTCAGTTGATTCCTACATTTCTGGGTTCTGCTTGTATAGAGGTTGTGAGAGAAAGCTTTGCTGGAGTGAGTCATTTTGCAGCGTTCCGGGTAGAATGGCTTTGCCAGAGGCAGACGTTACGCAGCTTTGCGGATTTGGCAGGGAATGGGCGGGGAAGAGGATGTTGGTTTCGATACAAGCAAGATCAGCCCAGCCCCCAAAAGCCATTGATGGGTAGGTATCACAAAATCCCGCAACCCCTTGAAGATTTGAAGGGAACACCACAGCTGGGGAGAGAAACGGGTTCCCGAAGCCGTATAGACGCCGCAGCCACAGCGAATTCGGCTGAGGCGGTACCACGCCTGCTGCCAGCTGCTCTCGGATTTCTACCACTCTGCGCTGTGCCTGGGCCTGCCGGAGGCCTGCTGACGGGGCGTGCCTCGATTCCCCGTAGAAGAATACACCCGGTGCATCCCGGGCGTGGCAGGTTCTTATAGGCGGGAACCCAACCAGAAACCTGTTCCTTTTGGCAGGGCTCCTTAAAAGATACAGTTTGCCCCTTTGAAACATGGCTTTTTCCACCAAAATAAGGGGAAGCCACCATTGACAAGGCAATGTTCAGGTGTATAATGTAAGGATCCCTGTTTGGCTTTACAAGGTGGCAAGCTCTTGGGTACCTGCTATACCGTTACATGGACGTGTGAACTTCTGCGGGATGAGGAGTAACAGTTTAACTAGGGATATTTCACTAGTTGGAAAGGCACACCTCCACAAGCATCATTGCCGGTGTCCAGCTTAGGATTCCTTGGAATAGTTTGAGGATGACACAGGGGGACGCGCGTTTGCCCCAAGTTGTGAGACAGCCATTGTGGCAATGGCTTTCATCTCCCTGTGAAGCAATCCTTCAGCTGGCCCTCCCCATTTGGGTTCAACCTAGCCCCTTAGAGCCATTTTGCCCGGGATGTGCCCGAACGACACATGTTGTGTTCTGTTAGCTTAGAGATCTGTTACTTTTCGTCATGTTCTGCGTAATGGGTAACACGTCGTACGCGCTCTTCGCATGTTCCTTCCAAACTTAGCTGTCTACAATCATGGGGCAGTGGACAAACTTGTCAATGACGGTGTTCCAAAACCTCTTTGTCAGCTCCTATGATCTTGGTCAAATCATAGCGACCCCACCCGCAGTGAAGGTCCCTGCTCTGGGAAAGAGGAAACTGGCCCAAACCACGCAAGCGGTTGCCAGGAGCACGCGCCGCCGCCCAAGGTGGATGTCTTCGCGCCCGAGGCCGGAGCGGCTCAATCCGGCCATTCCGAACCAAGGTCTGTACTCTGATGCCATGAAATCTGATGGCAAGGGCTCCAAATGTCAAGTGCACAACATTGACTCATGTTTGAGTCAGGGCCCTTTACCTTGGTGGCTCCCAGCCATCCGGTTCCTTAGCATTTTAGCATTTTAGCTTTTTAGTGTTTAGTGGGGTTTTCCATTTAGCCCACTAAAAGTTAAACTTTTAGGCGGGGGATCTGAGGACAGGTCACTTAAGAAGGCCTCATAGAAGGCCCTTTGAGATCCAAGAAAAAAAAAAAAACCTCTCTTTAAGCACCAGCATTTGAGGCAAAGTCAACAGGCGGCACCTTGGAGTCCGAAAAAGAAGCGGCAATTCTAGGGGTACCTTCCAATTCCATTCTTTCCAGGCATCATTCTTTGCAGGAAACCATCAAAAACCCAGGGGAAACAGCCGGTTTTTGAAAAGAGCGATGGCTGAAAAGAATGGAAAAGGAATCAACCCCTAGAATTTTTGTCCACAACCCCGTTGGAAAGAGGGCGCTGCTTTGACAGGTGAGCCTTGGGATACACGGGCCAAGTGGTTGATGTGCCGCAACAGGGACCCCATCCAACTGGTCAGGCTCATTCCTAGAGCGGAATGCTGCCAGCTGGCGCTCTTGTTCCTGAAACTTGTGTGTCGTTTACCGCTGCGCAACTGTGAAATTGAGATGTGACTTCCATTTGCTTGAGAATATTTTGTCCCTTTCCCTTGTTGGTTTTAGAGGGAATCTATCACACACTGGAAAATGTGTATTTTTCCAGGGGGCTGAAGCAATGGACGATGAGGAATATATGTGCGCGGTGTTGAGCATGGCATCTCAAATCATGGTTCCACTTTTTGACTGCCGCAAGATAGACTTAAACTCAGGGCTTCTCCTGGGCTTAAGTCTGACCTGGGGTAGTCGAAAAGTGGAACCCTGTTCCAAACGGGCTTTCCTAAAGCTTACCTAAAGCTCAGCTTGTGTGAGTTGTTCAGCATAGAGCTCCTGGCGGTACTGTCTCCGGATTGCTAAGCCTGAAAGCTACGCAAGATGTTCCTCCCCCCCAAAAAGAAAGAACAACAAACAAAGCAAAGAAACACACAAACAAACAAAGAAGCAAACAACAAAAAAAGGAAGAAAACCAACAAACAAGCAAACGAACAAACAAGCAAACAAACAAGCAAACAAAGAAGCAAACAACAAACATCCACTTGAGGGTGTCTCAACGTAAAAAGATGGTTGATTCACGCACCAAAAAAGATGGTTCATTGCACGCCAGGAGCCTGAGGAGCCGGATCCCAAGGACAAGAAGAAGGCGACCCCCGACTCAGAACATCAAGTGGCTTGATTGCCTTTTTTGCCCTGTTGGTTTTAAAGGGAATCGATTTTGCTACTGGACATATTTTTTTCCAGGGGTCTTAAGCAAATGGATAGCTACTAATTCCCCCACCTAGGTGCCCTTTCTTACCGTCACTTTTTTGGTTGGGAGGGTTCCAAAAACTGCTAAAATAGACAAAACTGGCAAAAGGTGGGTACCAACTTATTCTAACCTCTCTACTGGAGGACCTAGTTGGTGAACCAGAGATGAGCTTCCATTTCTGGGTCAACGGCTGGGGGTTCAAAGCGGATTTGGGAAGGAGACAGCCTTCCCATGCGCTGGTCCCCTCCTTTCTTCAATTTTTTTGGGGAGGCGCGGGCCAAGCAAATGTTCCGGGGCCTTGCGCCCCAAACTTCGGGCGCACGAAAATCGGATCATCGCTTTGCAAAGAGGTCCCCGATGGCTAAGCCCACCAAGAGGTAGGGCGCGCGCCCCGAACAGTTCTGGCAATCTAGGGGGGGCGCGACCAAACTTCCCGCAGAAATCAGCTTACCGGTGACTCAAAGGCAAGCAACCAATAGAATATACATTCTCTCACTGGGCCTAAGTTTAATCATGCCAGGAGCACCAATTTGTCTCACGTCCTGTGCGAAAATGGATCCCGCACACATTCCCGGAAAAAGGGGGCCGAAATTGTTGTATCAAAGTTGGGGAGCCGCCTGTGGTGTTTGAATGGTGACGAGGAAGCCAGCAATTTAGTCCCCCCTGTTTTGAAGAAGACTCCCTCGGTTGAAGTACACAAGCCCCTCCTGGTTTACCCCTTTTGTTGGGAGGATTGCAACTAAACAATGTGTTGAAAAATAGGGAGACCCAAAGAATGGCGGCTTTTCTTTGAGGAACCCTTTAAACCAATCTTAAAGGGGCACCCTCCAAGAAACACAAGTGGACTCATGCCTGGCCGCCTGATCCTGAGCGTGCCACCTTGGCCAGAAAGACGACAAGAAGAAGCCGAAGGACGCGCCCGAGGACGGTATGGTAAAGCATGTAAGCTGAACTGGGGCTAGTCAACCGTGAGATGACCAGTGAAAGGCACCGTGAAATGACTTCCAACTTGCCAAACTGAAACGGGGCTCCTGAAAAGAAAAATCCCTTTTGCCTTTCCATTTGAAAAAAAATGTGGCTTTTTCAACACCAAAATAAAGGGGAACCGCCGTTTAGAAGTTGCAATGTTCAGGTGTTTTTCATGCATCCGGATCCCTGTGAAAAGAGTTGCCCATGATCGTCAAGGGGCCAGGAAGATGTTCAAGCCAATCCCAATACGCAAGAAAGCGACAGACTGATGGTGCGCCAGGTTGGCCTTGGGCTGACAAATGCGTAGAAGCCAAGAAGCCTTACTCATTTGTTTTTTTGCGAGGTGAAGATACCAAAGGCTCACCAAAGGCAGATGGGAGTAATACTAAGGCAATCTTCCAACAGATCCAAATCTTCCAACGTGAAGCCTAATTCTAGGCAATACCAAAGGCAACTCTGAGGCAACAGATCTGCCAACCAAACGGCTGCTGTGTGTTGGGGTTCCACCTCCAAACGCATGCCTTTCGAGCGTTTCCATGTCAAGCCCTTGCGGAGCTTTGCGGATGGACCTACGCTTTGCTTCGCTTCCCCGTTGCCTGGCGAAGGGTGGGATCGATCCCATGTGGCGGAACCCGCGTGCGCAGGAGCCGGTGATCAGCCCGGAGGAGAAGGATCGGGGGGGGGAAGCGGAGGGGGGGGAAGGAGCACGCGAGGCCGTCCTGCCTTTTCTCTTTTTTAGGCGCCTGGTGCATTTAATTTGTTGTTTGCTTCACCCGGTGGTTGCTAGAAAGGTACTCATTTTTAGAGGTACCCTGAGGGCTCCTTTGGCCTACTCTTGGCCTTTTGGAAGGTACCCTTAAGCCCTTTTTGATAGGTACCCTTCAGCTTCTGTTGAGGCCAAGGAAAACAACGGCCCCAGTTTGTCGAAGGCCGCCATGCGGCTCTGCAAGTTCGTTCCCGGCGAGCCTGGCGCTGAGATCGGAAGCGCCTGGGAGAATTTGGGGTTCAAATGGGTGTGGGTCAAAAATAGGGTAACCCCCAAATGGAATCCTGGCAAATGGAAACATGGACTAAAACCTGCGGTCCAATTCCTGGTGGTTGAATTTTGACAAATCCCAAATCATAGAAACCAGCTACAGGAGTCACATTGGCCAAATACAAACAAGAACAAGGATTTCCTGTACACTGTAGAATATCCTGTGGCCGGTTTTTTGGAAGTAGACAGTTGACACCGTTTTGCAAAAAAGGCAAGTCAAGGGAAAAGGTCCAAAGATGGGACAAGGAGTTTGTGAGAACCGCCTGGTTGGGCGAGATCAAGAGAACCAAGAAACAATTTGGGAGCCATGCCCCGTTTTCCCCACCCCAGCCCTGCCCACCCCACCCCACTTCCCACCCCTCCACCCCACTTCCCACCCCTCCACCCCACTTCCCACCCCTCCACCCCCACCCCACTTCCCACCCCTCCACCCCACTTCCCACCCCTCCACCCCCACCCCACTTCCCACCCCTCCACCCCACTTCCCACCCCTCCACCCCCACCCCACTTCCCACCCCTCCACCCCACTTCCCCCCACCCCTTCCCACCCCTCCACCCCACTTCCCACCCCTCCACCCCCACCCCACTTCCCACCCCTCCACCCCACTTCCCACCCCTCCACCCCCACCCCACTTCCCACCCCTTTACCCCACTTCCCACCCCTCCACCCCACTTCCCACCCCTCCACCCCCACCCCACTTCCCACCCCTCCACCCCACCCCTCCACCCCACCCCACCCCACCACCCCGCCCAACCCCCCCGCACCCCACTTCCACCCCACCCCGCCCCACCCCAGCCCACTTCCCGCTTCCCACCGGCCCAGGTCAGAGTCCGAAGGCCGCTGGGAGTTCCCCTTCCTTGCGGACCCGAACTGGGCGGGCACGGGGAGAAAAACCGCCGCTGTGGCACTCGGAAAACGACGCCCGTTGTTCCCAAAACCCGCAAGAAGCTCAGCAGCTCGGCACGAGAGATGGGAATGTGGAATGAACCTGAACAAAATCCCGAATAAAGGACACCACTTGTGGGATGGTTGTTCTAAAGGGGTCATTCCATGTCTCATTCCCTGCATCTCTCGCACCAGCAAGAAAAGGCTCCAAGTAGGTGGCTCTGCCTGGCCTTCTGGTTGAAACCTTTTAATCTTGGTAGAGCCGCAAGTTGGGTGTTAGGCGTGGCTCACTTGGCAAGGTTGTGTTCCCAAATCAGCCATTTGAGCCTTCCATTCGTGTCACTGAAGTGGCAGTCGCAAGCCTGCTTGGGGACGGTTTGGAAGAGAAATCCGAAGAAAACCGAAGCGTTCCAAGTGATGCATCTGCATCGACACCAATATTGGACCTATTCGCGCTGCAACCGGCCCTCAGAAGTTGCACGTTTGCACCACTCAAACAAGGAACCTAATGTGGAAAGATGGTTTCCCATTCCAAGTTTGTGGGGGTTGTTGAGCGACGCCAGCGCAACCCCCGAGAAAGCGTTGCCAATTTTGAAACAGAGTGGGCACTCGAGTGGGCATCCAATGCGAGCCAGCATGTCCCTGAACAGCAACCCACAGCATTTGGCACGTTCCGCCATCCTTGCTCCCTGCTTTCTGAAAAGCAAACTCCGAGACCTGGCCGTCATTCCCTTGGAGGGATCCTTTCCGGGGCTAGATGGCCCGCTCTTAGAGCATGGGATGGAAGCTCCTTTGGGTATGCTTCTTTTTGCCTCGCTCAGATCTCATGGTTGGCGTGTTTGCCCTGCAGGACCTCATGGGGCAAGCGTCTAAAGCTGTTTGGCAGCCGGAGCCTCGGGGAAAAAAAGAGAACGGCTCGACGCTGGGTGAGCTCAGTCAAGGCTTTCAAGCGGATTTCTGAGAATCTGTTTGGGGTCCTGGGGTCGTTTTGTGGGGAAACCTGCAAGTTTGCAAGAAGGGGTCAAGAATTGTTCAGCCAGGTTCATGAAATGGTATCATGGGTTTTGGCGTGCTGCCGTTGCTGGGGCATGCCATAGGCATGCTTCCGGAGCCAGACGGACTCGCCGAACCTTTGGTTCCCCACAGCCAGTCAATTTGATGGTGCTTTCCTTTTGCATGGACCAAAACAAGTTCCCTGATTGACATGTCAAAGCTGAATATGTGGGAGGCATGAATCATGGACATACCAGAGGGCAGTTTCTACTGAGGTGCTGGCAAAAACCACAAAGCGAGCTGGTAAGAGAGGATTTTTTGTCACATTGCCGAATGGGAGATTCTGGCATGGGAATGTGTCAAACACAGACCATCCTGTTTTGGCGTCTTGGCTTGACAAGCTGACTGACTGTTGGACCTCGCAGAAGGGGTTCTTTGGTGTTGGGGATTCTTTTCCTCCCGAAATACTGGGAGGGGGGGATTCATGGGGTCAACATCACCTCGGGAGTTTCCTCCCTTTGCGTGTCTTACATTTTTTCGCCTGCAGGCTGGAGGATTTCGTCGCTCCCTCCATCGAGGCGAGAGCCTCGAACCAACTACCCACCCCCCTTGGACCTACCCCCAGGATTCCCATAGTGAAGGTTGACAGGAAGGGTCATCTGCCCCTGAAACAGATTTTGGTCAAGCGCCAGCCCCCGACTTTTGTGATCCGATGTCTTCACGCCCGCTCCAAGATCAGCAAGCTGCAAGCTACAAAAGGGGCACTGAGTCGCTGGCATGTTGCGGCACAGTTGCAGGACATCCAAGGATTTTGTGCATCCGGTTTGGGTTGTCCTCCCAATCCGCGAGTCTTACAAGGAGCTAGTGGCTGGTTGGTTTGGTCTAGCATCCTATCCACTAAGTGGTTCAGAGGGTAGCGTCCTGGGGGACAATCTTGTCTAAGCTTGCAAGCGAACGGATGCCCTTCAGACGTCGCTGTGTGCGATGTGGTTTTTGAGGAACTGGTGATCATGCACCGGCTGCCACAAACACCGTTGTCATTGCCAGCTCAGTAATTCAGTTGTCGTCAACGTTCCAGCTGGCTACTGGGGAGGACTAGGTGCGTGTGGGATTCCGGCATAAACCGCCATCCAAGTCTACCACCTCAGCACACATGACCATTTTTGGGCAAAAAACGAGCTTACTTCCCTCTAGACCATTCTGACCTATGAATTGCGGTTGGAAGTCTCAAGCTGGGGAACCCTCAAATTGGGGGGCTTCCCTTGAATTCCCTCCCCCCCCAAAGAGCAGCCTCAAGGCACACCTGTAGATCTTGGCTTGCTGTCGTGGTACCAGTTTGTGAGCTTGGGCTTGTAGGGGAGCGTTCAGGCCAACATGTTCAGTCTGTGCTGCTGCCCCTCAGCGGGCTCCTGGCAGGTTCCAGAAGAGGAGGAAGAGGTCAAAGATCCCAAGGCAAAAGCGAAGGCGCTAAAATTGAGGGTTATTTGTTGCGAAGTGCGTTTGCAGCGAACAGCTGGCATGCATTTTTTGGGCATACAGTTCCAAGCATGACACGTAGAGATGGAAACCTCTCACGTTCCCAAAAGGCCTTGAGTCAGGAAGACTTTCAAACCTTGGTTGCTCCCAGCCATCCGGTTCCTTGGCCTTTTAGCCTTTTAGTGCTTAGTGGTAGTTTCTATTTAACCCACTAGAAGTTAGTCACTCTTCTCGCAGGGGATCCGAAAACGGGCAGCCCAGTAGCCCCTGAAAGCCCGGTGGTCTCATGTCTGGATGCATTTCCGGTGCCTCATGAGGAGGGAACCCCCGAAAAGAGTCAGGTCGATGTCGCTTTTTCACCGGGAGGTTTTTCACCAGGAACGTGTTGATTCCGACTCGATGGGGTAGGGTTCCCATTTCAGGTAGAGCGCATCCAACCGTTGCAGTTCAACGACCAGTGAGCCAAAGCTCATACCCCAGTTTGTGCGCAACTTGTTGCTTTCTTGCAGTCAGATGCGTGGGTATGTTCGACTCTATGTAGAGTTTTAACCAGCAAGTAATTTCGCCCAACCTTGTTTTTTTTTTTTTTGTGTGGCTTCGAGCGACCTGTTGAATAAAAGGTTACGATTGTGTGACTGACATGTTGTGCTCTCGGCCCGATTAGCATTTAAGCAGCTGACTGAAGATTGCCATTTAGTCAACCAGCAGGTTCACCGTGCTTTTTGCTGATCAGGAAAATTATTTGGTGCAGCCAAGATGTTTCCAGATCTCAGATCTCTGACGTCACCAATGCCGCCAATGCCATACGAGTCGGACGCTTCCAGAGCCCTAGTGGCACGAAATTGATGTGTCAAACTACGTCCCTAGCAATACATGTTGTCCTTGTGGCCCCCTTTTTCAACCCACCTGCAAAGGGTACTGCGCCTCAAAAGCACAACCCCACATGGGCATCTATGTCCTATCATCGCCTGAGGCTTGTGGAAACATAGACATGTGACCTCGTGAATGCGCATTTCATTCCACGTCTGCAGGCCAAAGGCAAAGCGAAGGCCAAGGCGAAAGCAAAGGAGGAAGAGGCGCATGTCGGAGGTAGCAAGGCTGTTGATGCGCGAGTTGATGGGTTGCTCGATTTAAACTGGTTTCACTGGGTTTTCATTGGGTTTCATTGGGTTTCATTGGGTTTGATTGGTTTTCATTGGTTTTCATTGGTGTTTATTGGTGTTTATTGGTGTTGATTGGGTTTTCATCGGTTTTCATTGTTGCAGTTGGGTGAAGGCGAATTCTGAATTCAATTCCAACTGTGATTGATTCAGTCATCCATTCTTCCCAGGAAATTGTGGCAACCACTTTCACCCAACTTCCAGCCATTTCCTGTGAGCCAATTTGGACGGGCATCCAAGAGCTGCATGGATCAATCTGGGCTGAACATCCTCTCTTGGTTTCAAGGGCAAACACAAAGGAAAACCACCATTGTGGGGGTCCCCTCAAAAGAGACACACCTAAAAAGAGGATATATGAAAGATGGACAGTTTCTTTGGGTGGACAGGCCTATTTCATGCCCACGTTGGATTCTGAAAGGATTTCTTGGTGGATTCCAAACCGGGATTGCGGAACTGGGGGTGTCAAAATTTAAGGGTACCCTTTCTTGGCTATTGTGTAATGAACAAAAGGTCAAAGACCAATTTTGAGGGTCCCCCGATTTTGAGGCATGCCGAGATTTTAGTTTATTTTGTGTGTGTTTGTGTGTGTGTGGCGTGTGTGTGTGTGTGTGTGTGTGTGGGTGTGTGCGTGTGTGCGTGTGTGCGTGTGTGCGTGTGTGCGTGTGTGCGTGTGTGCGTGTGTGCGTGCGTGCGTGCGTGCGTGCGTGGGTGCGTGCGCGCGTGCGCGCGTGCGCGCGTGCGCGCGTGCGCGCGTGCGCGCGTGTGCGTGTGCGTGTGCGTGTGCGTGTGCGTGTGCGTGTGCGTGTGCGCGTGCGCGTGCGCGTGCGCGTGTGCGTGTGTGTGTGTGTGTGTGTGTGTGTGTGTGTGTGTGTGTGTGTGTGTGTGTGTGCGTGTGTGTGTGTGTGTGTGTGCGTGTGCGTGTGTGCGTGTGTGCGTGTGTGCGTGTGTGCGTGTGTGCGTGTGTGCGTGTGTGCGTGTGTGCGTGTGTGCGTGTGTGCGTGTGTGCGTGTGTGCGTGTGTGCGTGTGTGCGTGTGTGCGTGTGTGTGTGTGTGCGTGTGTGTGTGTGTGTGTGTGTGTGTGTGTGTGTGTGTGTGTGTGTGGTGTGTGTGTGTGTGTGTGTGTGTGTGTGTGTGTGTGTGTGTGCGTGTGCGTGTGCGTGTGCGTGTGCGTGTGCGTGTGCGTGTGCGTGTGCGTGTGTGTGTGTGTGTGTGTGTGTGAGTGATTGTTCATGTTATGCGATGCGTACATCTCCTTGCTGACATGCCCAAAAGCTAGCCTTCATGCCATGCATAGTGGACCCGATATGTAGCCACTTTGGCATGTCAACGCGAAAGGCATTGTAGAACTGGTAGTTGGTCTCAACGTAGTCACTCAACCGGTTCACAACATGCGCCTTTGCCCAAGCATTGGCCTGTTGTTTCTTTGCGGGATCCCGAGTCAAGACCCGCCTGCGACCACTCCTGGGGACGCACCATCCATCAGCACCCTGTGCTGATTGAAGTCTGCCTGGAAGGCTTAGGGATGGTGCGTCCACAGATGACGTCGACCAGAGTGCCCTTGATGCAATTTTTGCAGGTCAAGACCGAACCCCCAGCGCCGGCGCCGGCACTCTTCATCGACTTGCAGCAGGCTCGCCTCGCTCGCAACATGGAACCCACAGGGCCACTTTTCCAGGAAAATGGAAGGGGGGTGCCCGAATTGCTTCTTGTGCGTTTGCCACTTGTTTGTGGGTTGTTCCCACCTGGTCGTGTGGATTTTCTGTACCCTTTTTAGGGTTGGCTTGAAGGGAAACCAAAAGGAAGACCATGGTGCATGGCTTCCCCGTATTTTGACACACACACACACACACGCATACACGCACACACCCATGGGCGTGTCTGCAAATTGCGGGACGTCCAGTTGATGTTTTTTCCCCTGGCCCCAGAAAGGCTTCCTTTGCGACGTGGCCTTTCCTCGCAGTTTCCGTATCTCATGGATCTGTTGACCCATAAAAGTTGGGCGCAGCCGTTTTCGGACTTCGAATCTCAGCTCTTGGGTGATTTCTTCTTTTGGCGGGGTGTAGAAAGGGCAAGTTTCGGGAAGGAGGACCGTGGCAGCCGGGGATGGATGTTTTCTTGAGAGCAAGCCCAGCACATTGATACCTCTCAACTTGAGGCTCGGCCACCCGCGCAAAAACATTAAAAACAAAAAAAACAACAACGGGTAAGACGGCGGCAGCAGCCTGCGGATAGCTTTCCCTCTTATATGATGGCAGATGTCAATGTTTGGTTGGAAGATCTCGGAAAGCGTCGAGGAAGAAGTCTGAGAATTGAGGCATTTAAGCAGGACTGGTGCTACCAGGTTTCTGGTGCATCCTGTCATACCAAGAAAACATGTCCCACCTCCTCAAAACTCTCATTTATTAACATGTTTTGTATTTGGTTGGAGCTGTCCAAAAAGGCACCGCACCAACCAGCCAGCCGACCCGCCAACCCACCAGCCAACCAGCCTCATCTACCATGCACTTTCGCCTTCCTTTTTTTCCCCCCCCCAAAAAGGACGGCCTTCTTTTTACAAACAAAGCCATCGCAGAAACTGTTGCTCGACCTTTGAGTCGCCAGCTTTTCCGCTTTTTCGCCGTTGGCGCCTTTTCTAGGTCCCTACTTCTTGGTACCAACTTATTCTGAGCTCTCCACTGGAGGACCTAGTAAAATTGCCCAGTGCATTGCTTGCCATTTTGTGATCGACTTGGTGTTTGGGTAAGTCTCTGGACCTGTCCCTTGGCCACTCATCGTCCCTTGGCCATTCATCGTCCACTGGAGGACCTAGTTTTGCCTCGGCCTTCGGCCCCGTCAGGCGCTGCTGGCGGAGCGGGTCACCTTCCAGCACCGCCTGCGGATGGTGCACGGCTGGGCTCTCCGGAGGCTCCACCAGGCGTGAGAGTTTCGGTTTCGGCAGGAGGCCGCGTGGGGTTTCGGGTCGGTCGGTAGGAATTCACGGAAGGAGCCCCTTTTTGCGGGTTCCCCCAGAAAACCGGGGGGAGGGGGGAGAGGGGGTGGGGGAAGGATGGGGGGGGGGCCAGTTCCCTCAACAGGATTTGGCCTAGAAATGGTTGGGTTCCATGGCAAAATTTGGCAGGGGAGCATGTCTAAGTCCAGCTGAAAGTGGTTGCACTTGTCGCATTTTAATGTCTTCGATGTTTGATGTCTTTTTGTTGGGGGGAAACCGTTGTAAAGCAGCAGGTCATCTTGAGGACGTTACTTGAATGGAACGTGCGGTTTGGTTACGTTGCGTTTGGGAACCCCCTTTTGATTGGTTTGCGAAGAGAAGCAAGTGGAAATCACGCAATGTGTGTTTGACCCGCAATTTGAGACAAACCAGCATGGGGATTTGTTGAGGGGTCACGACATATCAACACCAGCACCCGCAAATGGGTCGCTGTGTGGAAACCACTAGCGCATGAAGGGGGATCCACGGCGAATAGCAACTTTTTTTTGAGGCCTAGAGGTGAAGAGCCATCTTGGTTTCCCGTCAAAGGCGAGTTGGCACCGACTTTTTTGGAATGGGCACGCTCAAACACATGGTTGCTATTTGGTTGGAAGGGAAACTGCCGCGTGTCCCACAAACCATCAAACATGTTACGCTTTTTGCCCAAGGGGCCACAGCCACACATATTTTATGGGTAGGTCGCGAAAAAGCCCTTCAGGACTTGAGCTACATTGGTTGTCCTTTGGGGACCTGAGCCGAGCCCCGGATTTGTTTGCCTTGGCTCACCTATGCTTTGCTTTTCCAGCCTGGCTATTGGCTATTGACGCTGGCATATGCTAGCTTTGCATTTGTGTCCGTGGAAACGATCAGGCGCCCCGTGGTGTCATGTGCTGATGAGCGGAAGGCATGTCGTTGCTTTGGAGCTCAGGTGCATCACGTAAGAAGAGTTTCCCTCTGGTAAGCGGCCAGGTGAGCCACAATCAAAACCCGGGTAGATGAAGGGTAGTAGCAGTCCCAGCCAGAAATAGCTTCGGCCGCCGTCCTAATATTTCCATGGTTCTGGGCAGACCATTTTAACACCGGGTTTTGATTGTGACTCAGGTGAGGTCTTTTGGAGACCGACCGTTGGACCCAGATTTCGGCCGGGAGATCTCCTGTGTTTCCCGGCAACCATGCTCTCCAGCCGAATTCTTCGAACTCCATGCCAGGCTTCAGTATGTATTCGAAGCAGATACATAATGGATCCTGTAGCTGGATGAATGAACGTCCGCGCAGTGAATTCTCGAATGGTGGATTTCCTCCACAAAGCGTCCTGCAAAAGCTGGTCCTTTGATAATGCATTTTATTTGTACACACCTGTACACGTCTAATCATGTCGAACGGAATCTACGACGCACACAAGAAAGAGTCCGTTTGGTCAACAAATGCTCCCCCCACCCCCCCCCCTCCCCCCCAAGATCCACGCGGTGACCATACATAGCGTGTGTATATATATATATATAGCTTTGTTCGACGGAATGGAATGGATGGATCGATTTGAATACCCCCCCCATTTGTTCGCCAGGCTGCTCGATTCGATTCGTCAGGCGGCGAGCTCCACTAGGACCACCTACCACCAGCTGAATGACTGGGTGCTGCTGCGGAGGCGGATTTCGAGTTCGATTCGCGGGACCCGGGCGGACGGGTCGGGGCGCGGGGGGGCGGGGGGCGGGGGGCGGCAGGGGGCGGGGGGCGAAGGGGGGGTTTGCCGGGGGAGGGGGGGGAAGAAAGTGGATGTGCTGTTCCGTTTTGTTCTGTCCTGATTTCTGAAAGGCCCGACAAAACCATGGGGTCGGTGTTGTTTTGTACTTGGAGAAAGATGATACGTGTGGTTTTGAAACTTGAACATTAGTTGGTTGACTTGTTATGTATTCTCTCAGCTAGATAGGGATAAACAAGGGGTCTCCGAGTGCGGATTCCACTTATCCAACCATTCTCACTGCCACCGACCGCTTTCCCGGCTTCTCGGTTGACCATGTGGCTGTCAATTTGCAACTCAATGTTTTGAAAACTCATTTTGGCGCTGAACCTCTTCTGAAAGAACCAGAATTTGGGTGTCTTTTTGTAGGGGACCCTCCAAAGTGGCTTTGGTTTACCTTGTGGTTTCCCCTTCACACCCAAAAAGAAATACCAAAAAAGGACACCCGAGGTGATAACATGTCATATGTGGTATGTGGCAGCAGGCAGCATCCGTAGGCGACTCAGGTGCAACAGGGTGGACTTTTGGGATTACCCTCTTGCCAACAAGCATGGAAGTGGACAGGGAGGTTTCCCGAAAGGCAAGTAGTGTTTCCACAGCTTCCTGTCAGCTTCCATGATTGTTGGAGGGAGGGTACGCTGTGGCTTGACAGTTCTGCACTTTGGCAAGCAGCCAGCACTGGCCTATGGGTGTGGGTCAAAATTAAACCACCAGGGGCCCTCAAATTTTGGTCCATGTTTCCACTTACCAGGGATCCATTCCTGGCACCGATTTTTGACCCACAGCCATATCAAGACCCTCCCCCACGCCGAGATTGAGATTGGAAGTAAGTTGGGTGCTGGGCCTTAGACCCCGCAGGCAAGAGGTTTTCCTTGAGAGCCCGCTGCATGGGTTCCAATCCCCAGCCTTCAGGTGCTGGGCAAAAATCTCTCGCGACATGTTGGCCCTCTTGTTTTAGGATGCAAAACAAAACCCAGGTGATTGGTTGCCATGAGCTGACTGCCTGAGCGCTCAAAAACATGAAAAATTGTTTTGGATAGTTCAAAGAAAATGGGGGACCCCATCATCCGCGAGGTGGGTTGGTTTTTACTTTGCATTGCCCCTTCAAGGCATCCGAAAGGAGAGGTTTCCAAAATGTGGAGACAGGTGAGCCACGTCCTCAAAACCCGGGTATATAGATGAAGGTTAGTTGGGGCCAGTCCCAGCCAGAGTTATAGTTCCGGAAATCCGGCTTCTTAATTCTTGAAGCATGGTTCTGGGATTACGACCATTTCAAGACCGGGTTTTGAGCAAGTGACTGGTGACTCAGGTTCAGTTAGGCGTTCCGCCTGGTCGTGCCAGGCACAAAGACTTGGAGGCCGTCGCTAGCCTTGTAGATGTCATCAAGGAGCTGCGCGGGAGAGGTGAACCCGCTTGGCGAATGCTGCGAGTCTCAAGTTTTTGTCGCAGGCGTTTTGAAGAAGCACCTCGAGAAGTTATCTGCTGTCCAATCTCCAGACCAAGTGGCGAAAAAGAGAGAGAGAGAAAAAAAGAGAGAGAGAGAGAGAGAGAGAGAGACAGAGAGAAAAAAAATATAAGTCCACCAAACTTGACCTCCGGAAAACCGGGTGCTGTGTTGCTACCATGTTCTACCCTTCCGCAGCTATGATGTTCACTTTGTGCAGATAGATCACTGGCCCGGGCTGTATTAGCCAGCGCATGCCATGTGTGCCTCTGTAGCTTGGTGCTTGGTTTGGAACATTGCATATTGCAGGGCACTCAACGTGGCCGGATTGAAGCTTTGAAGCTGCCGTTCATGGCCTTTCATTGCTTTCGAAGTAGATACATGTTCCCATAAACGCATCATGTTGCTTCGCAGCTGAAAACGGCTCTTCCCCGAATCTCCACTGTAAACGCCCTGATCAGCTTTGAACATGATGAAAAACGACCCGTCAGACCCAAGACGCTTTGCCCACCTAATGCGTTTGCATCGGAGCGAAGAACCTCATTTGGGTGTTATTAAACCACCAGGAATTGGACCGCAGATTTTGGTCCATGTTTCCATTTACCAGGGTTCCATTTGGGTACCTATTTTTGACCCGCGGCCATTTGTCAACACGCCTTGGGCACAGAAGCTTCAAGCAAGCAGCGTCCAACAATCCGCTTCGATGTCCAAGGGCGCTTCTTTTTGTGGTTCTGGCCCCGGTTCCACGCGACAGGAGCACGTGGAGAGCGAAGGCTTCATCAAGGCGCGACGCGATGGCAAACGCTTTCCTTGTTGGACCCTGCTCACGGAAAACCTGAATGAGGAAAATGTGGATCAACCACCACTAAAACAGTCTGCAACACTGTGGTGACTGTTGCAGTTTGGGGGTGTCCAAGTGAGAGTCTTGCACGTTTCCCCGGTAATTATGTTTGAGATGTTCAGTTTCTGTGCAACCTATATTCATGGAAAGTGGACACGGGCCCAGGGCAAAGAACGCCTTGCAAGCCAGACAACTGTTTATCGGCATGCGCACTGGCAAGACTGTCACAGGTATCAAGGGCCCAACAAACATTCGACAGGGGCAGCATCCGACATGAGCCGTTCACGGCAGGGCTTAGGAAGCTGACATTTTTTTCGCCCAAGCAAAGTTTGAGCTCGCCCGGTTTGGTTCCCTTCACTTTCAAGTTGCTGCACAGCTTCTCCGACCATTGGACTAGTCTATTAGAATGCCCAGTCTTCAGCTTCTGGTTTGCAATCCACATTGCACAGTGATGTCGTCAATCGATAGATGATCAGCATTTGTTTTACATGTTTGGGTTTGGACAGTTGCGCAGCCTTTGGATAGTTGGCAGAGTGAGAGATGATAAGAAATGTGCATCATTTGTTTACACCTGGCCTACAGTGCCTGGCCCCCGGTGACGACAGCGACCTTTTGGTGAGTTTGCTGGGAGATGAGGATCCTGGTAGACAAAAGCTGTTTCCGCACGCAGACCAAGCTGAGCCTGAAGAACGCCCACCTTCACCGCAGGCTGGGAGGGTGATGTTGATTTCTTTTTTTGTTGTTGTTGTAAACCCACCCGCTATCGAATCAAGTCCGGTGTTTTCCCCTGAAAGAAAGACCCCCGCGCAACATCAAAGGGGAGCCCCCTGATGGATGGCTGTGGCTTCTATGCTTTGCTGGTAGAGAGCCCTGAACAGGGGACGCCGAAACGTATGTCCAAGTTCAGACAAGCAAAGGCTCCGCAAACGCGCGCTCCAGCTCCAAATTGAAGACAACTATGGCCAGCCTTGGTTCCTAGGACCTTTTTGTTGTGCTCTGTGACCCAGGTGCAACAAGCAGCCGAGCTGCATGAATTTCACCTCTCCAGACTAGAGTTTCACCTAGCGGAGGTTGCAGTCGCAGCTTGTCTCACCCAAAGCAGCCAAACACATTTTTGGATTAGCTCTTTCAAGGTCTTAAAGTCGGGAAGCCATGGGTTTGACTAGTTTTGGGGGAATCCATCGATTCCAACAGGACAGGAAGCCTGTTTTTTAGGTGGGTATTCTGGGGTGTTTCTTGCGGAAAGTTAGCTGGTCATGAGTCGTGCGATGAGTGGGGGTTGGGAGGACTCCCTTGTTGGGAGCTACCTATAGCCCAAATGTGTCAATTTCCCCCACAAGGAAACCCAACTTGGCTTTTCCAGGCCTATGCGCTCTAAACAGTCTCAATGGACAACAGCTTTCCAGACCCATTTGCCAAACAGCCCAAATTCGTTGATTCCCGGCAGTGAGCCACTGAACAACCCACCACCACCCGCCCCATGTGGAATTTTTCGCGCTCCCCGCGCTCCACCGCGCGGCTCGCCGCTCGCCGGCGGCTCGCTCGAGGCCCAACACCCTGCTGCGCGCGCCCACCCCGCCGGTGGTGCCGCCCCCAGTGGAGGGCCACGCGCCGTTCCGCTGGAGCATCGAGCAGCTGGAGAACCTGCTGGAGGCGCTTTCGCCGAAAGCGGCGCTCGCTTTCGAGGAGCCGTTTTGGCTTCGGGGAGGGAGGGGAGGGGAGCGGGTTTTTCCCGCAGCCGTACCCTTGTTGGGTGTCTTTTTCTGAGGCTTATTGGGTGCTCCTTTTGCCCTTGAAGGGAAACCAAAAGGAAGCCCACAGATCTTCTTGGTTCTCAGGGAAAGCAGCGCTCGCTTTCGGAGAGCCGATCTTTTGGGCTTCGCGGCTCGGTTTTTCCCGGACCGCAACAGAATGGGAGAAATGGAGAGAGGGGGAGGGAGAGCGGAAAGGCTGCGCGGCGCGTTTTGGTTGCTTTGTCCGGCACGACCAGCCGGGGGAGGGTGGGGCACAAAACGGGGGTAGGGGAGGAAGGCTCGTTTTGTTTTTGCGTGCCGCGCAACAAAGAAGGGCACAGGTGTCCTTTGTAGGTCCGATGTGTCAGTTTGGCTGCAAATAGATGGAGTGACAATTGGTGCAGTTTGGTTCCTGTGATTTGCCAGTGCCATCCTAGGAGTATCTAATGGGGGTGTTTCCAAAGCGCTGTTGCATGGCTGTGTAAAATTGGGTCGCGGGGATACTTCCTGTGATACCAAGGGCGTCCTCTTAGTGGCAGAGTAATGCATGTTTGTGTTTCCCCCCAAGATTGGGGGACCACTTTGGGTTCGAGTATGTTCCAACTGTTTTGCGCCATGTGTTAATCGTTGCCAACACTTTCACATTCGGGTGCATGCTGATGAAGCCGAAAGGGATGCTTCAAAATGGGTAAATGAACCCCCCACAATGGGCTTCCTTTTGATTTTCCTCCAAGGCAAGCAAAAGAGTTTCTTTGTCACAGAAGAGCACGCCCACTTGCAATCCAGGAAAACCAGATGCATGCGGGCAGCATTCCCTTCCGCGCATCTAAGCACGGCACATGCCGCTTTCCCGATTCCCATTGCGATCAGAACCCGCCAGTACACGTGGTGGTACAATGGTCAAGTGACCTTCAGGCCGCTTCGGCTGCGCTACTCCCCTCGATTTCAGGATGGCTCGTGCTTTCTAACCTATCTGGTGGGTGCCGGATGTCTCTCCCTTCGCATGGGCGCGTCGTTTTTTTTGAGGGTGCCTTCTTTTCTATAGTGTTGAAGGGAAACCAAAAGGAAACCGCCATGCTTGGGGTCCCCCCCAACAAAAATTACACCGACAGGGCGTGCGGAATAGCTTGTTGTTCCACAGAGCGTTGTCCTGCAGGTCGTGTCCAACGCCACAGGGGCGCTCTCGCCTGACATCAGGCGTCACACATGCACACGTCGAATGGGTCGACTCCGATATTGGGTTCGAGCGATTGAGGGGCTCCCTAACTTTTGAGGCGTTCCCTAACTTCAACCCAATTGGATCAAGGACTGGCGCTTGTAAAGTGAAACAAGATGATTGGCTCGATTCAATCCTCTCGCCATTTGCGTCCTTGCGTCTGAGGCTCTGGTCTGGTGCCAGATTGGAACAGCCAGTTGCGTTTGATTCGGGTTTCCCAAGCATTCGGGTCTAGCGCACAGCTTTGCCTGAGTGAGCGCAAGACTCTGGGTGCGAGTTGAAGGTTCAGGACAAGCATCAAGCATGTGTATATATAGTATGTGTATATTATATATATATATATATATACACATATATTTATACATGGACATGTTATGTCTACGCGTTCCAATCCAAGATGGTCTTCACTAGCCCCAAACCACTAGCCCCAGCGAAATTCCGGGTGTATACCCCTTGAAGAGCGACAACATGGTCGTTGTGTATCCCATTACCGCCGAGTTTGTTTGGGGGCCTTCATCAGGTCAGAGCTAAGAAGCCACAAACAGCATCCCCTAGGCGGACTGACAGCACAAGTCACACGCGTGCTGGCTTCAAAAACGCGGCCACTTGCCAGGGGAGAAGTTGGCAACAACATCCCTTGCTATGCGTAGATATATGAGTTAGGGTACTTTCTGCATTTGCTTGACTCAAAGTGAAGCAAACAATATAGACATATGGCAATTCCAACATCCAACCATTTGGTTCTAGGGATCCTGGATTGCCTGAAATCATACGCAGAAGCAAGTGCACAGCATCACCTTCAAATCACCTGCAGTCACCAAGGGGGGGTTCCAGCGGCAATTGTGTAGCTACCATGTTTCAGCTGGCCCGAGAACAGAGGCTCCCCATTTTTGTTTTCGACCCGACCCAAGTCGCGTTCGAGCTGCAGAATGCTCCCGAGCTACACGATGCTCGGCATCTTGCACCAGCTCACGTCGGCCAGGGCCTGAATCGGCTCCCGGCCGGTAGTCGGAAGGTGCCCCCTTGGACGGGACTCAGACCCGACGGGGTTCAGAAATCCGTTCGGATTGGTGAATTTGTGGTTTCTTGTGGCTCAGCTTGGGACATGTTGCAAGAGTTTGGGACTTGTTGCGAGCATGCTGCCTGTGAAGACTTGAGGGCGCCAAGGAGCCAAGGAGCTACCAGGAGGTCTGTAAGGGTTCGGCCACCGGCCGCGAGCTTGGGGATCCTGTTTCTCTAACCCGCCTTCATTCCCGGTCGTAGACACTTAAAGGTTTTTGTTTGCAGCCAAGAACCCTAAAATCCTCGCAACCTCCTGCTGTTGCAACAAATCGACCCGTCCAGTGTCCATCCAACCCCCCCCCTTTTCTGGGGCCCCGGCCCCATGCTCCGTTTTGGTTCATCCCGAGAAGCACCGGCCTCGAGATATCGTGAGATGGGCGTCGAGAGGTCGAGGGCAGCGACAAGCGCACCGTCAGGGTGCCGGCGAATTGGCCCGGAGCCCCAGGGTCTCGAGGTCGCCAGGAGCGTATGGAGACGGGGTCTCCGGATCTTGCCGGCTGATTTGGGGGAAGCGAAGCAAGTGAAGCAGGTGGTGGATGTATCCGTTCAGCAAACCCGGCAGAAATGCCCAGCACGTGTCAAGAGCCTGCACGTATGCGCAGGAGTGCTTGGAGTCACGCGGGTTGAGATAGATTCGTTCCAGGGGAAGTGCAAGGGGATACATGGTAAAACAAGCAGTCCAATGGGAGTGACGTGACCAGACTTATCGTGAGCCTTTGTGTGTGGGTTCGCCCAACCAAACCCAGTCGCAAAGGGCACCAACGGCATGCGACTGTTGCAACCATCCGGTCCATGGCAAAAGTAAGAGAAGACCACATCTTGCATGGCGTTGGCGCCAAGGCAAGACTCATTGTTTGGCCGTGCCAAAGCAAAAGGGTCCAGCCAGTGCTGAATTCAAGTTTTGGCCAGTGGAACGTGCCTGCGGCTGCAGTTTGGCTTGTGCTTCACCTGCCGAAATGGCAAGGATGCATTTTAGACATAGTTTCTGACTATGAAGGCCTTGTCAAATGAACACGGTTGGGGCATACATTCCGAAATCCGTGTCGCAGAGTTACGACTCAAGTTTGCTTTTCCTGCTTTGGGGCAAACGTACGCCTGAGCTCAGGGTCTGTGAGTCAATGGAAGCACAGGAGCCCTGGACCTTGTGAGCCGGCCATCTTCAGCTCTTTCACTTCTGTGGTAAGGAAGGACATGGGGCTCTCTCCAACCAAACTGCCATTGCCTTGATGCATTTTGCCAAGGGATGTTAGGACTTTAACTTTTTGCCAACTAAGGGGTTTTCCATTAAACCACTTAAAGTTAGACTTTTAGCAGGGGAGCAGACAGCAACCGAGATTAGGGAATGGGGACTACTCACCGAAGTTTTATGTGAGCTTGGAGCACCATAGATATTGGCCGTGGCTCATGGATCCTCACGGGAGGCTACCTCTACTCGTTCATGACGGTGTCCAAGCATCCTTCACTAAGCCAGATTTTATTTTTCCAAGAGAGGGCCTCAAAATGCAGCAGGGGTACAATATTGGTTCAGTAGTCATAGTTATCAGGATGTCCGGGGCAGCTACCCAGAACCACTTGGTTCAGCTGCTGATTCATGGGTCGGACCCAAGAGTTGTTTTTGTTGTTTAATCTTTTTAGACTAGATCCGGATTCTGGGATGGTAGATGGCTCACAGGGAAGGATAAGCACAAGCGCACCACAGTTTCCTTGTTACGGTACTCGGACAAATTCGGAAACCACCTTGAGTTTCCTCTGAATTTGTGTTTTTTGTGTGCTATCTTGATATGTGGTCTGTAGTTGTGATATTCATATACATATATATATAATGATAAAACATATACATACACATAATACATAATCATATACTTATATATGAATAACTTCGTGTAAATGATGTTTTGTCTCCGCGATGTTTGTGGCTCGGACATCCCAGGGGACTCCCTCGGCCTCGTTTCCCAGGCGCAACTGCGGCGCGGCGAAGCTCAAGTCCCTGCCCGGCACCCGAAACGCGCCTCGAGGGTCGAGGGTCTCGACTCGTCGGAAGCGGAAGGTCGGGAGACGCGCGAAACCGTGGCTTCCAGCCATGCCCTTGTTTTTTTTTGTTTTTTAGTGTTTGGTGGTCGGTTTTCCATTTAGCCCACTAAAAGTTAAACTTTGAGCGGGGGATCTGAGGACAGACACGTTTTTGAGGGTACCCTCCTGTCCGCGAAATATGGAGCCCGCCAGGGTTCCGTTTAAAAGGGAAATTGTTTTCTGCGGGACTCAGCAGTCAGGTTCCATGTTGGTGCATGGGAGGGTACGCCTTTTTTGGCGGTTTCAAAAGTAAACGAACGGAAAATCATCTTAGGGTGTCCTCCAAAGAAAAGACACCCAAAAGATGTAATGTTGATCCCGGATCTAAGTAGAACCGCTTCGATTAATGGAGGGTGTGACCAACCTTGAGTGATCTGAATCCCCACTATAAGGGAACACCCCCGGATCAAACTCAACCACGTGTTTAAAAATGTGGGGTTCCCATCAAGCCCGGGAAGTGCCTGCTTTTAAGCGTTATGTTGGTTTCCGTGAAAACAGCAACCACCTGTTTCGTACCGAGCTTAGACACGCCCATATGTAGCGACAAAGTGAAGCAGACTGTATGTATGTGTGTTTGTTTTTTTGTTTTTTCCTTGCGGCGGAGGGATGATTGGGCATGACTCCAATCATCATGTTGGTTTGTCTTGAAATTCACACAAGTTATTATCTTTGTTCATGGACCAAGCGAAACGTCCTTGTTCCCTACCATCCCCATTTGCTGTTTACTCAAAATGAGTTTGAGGCCGCCATCTTTCAAGCCCAAAGCAAAGCGTGCGCTCGGTGATTTCGAGACAGGCCGATGCAAGCAGACTTGGGCCTTGGTCAAGATGTGGAAGCTCCCAGTTCTGTGGTTTTTGCGGAACAACCCGGGGGGGGACCACGTGTCGGGAGCTGACACCATGAGCCACAGCCTTTTTGACATTGGTGTCAGCACCTTGTTCCTCATTCAGCAAACTCTGCATGCACCAGCTGAAATATGCAGGGGATCTTTGGCCGGGGTGCGGGGCTCACAAGATTTATTTTGTTTACCCCTTTTTGTGCTAAGTTTCCTTTGTGCGTCCTTTTCTAAGAAGCCACTGGAAGGTGCCGGCTGCTTTGTCCAGAAGTGACCCTGCTTTCTCTTTCGACGCGCCGGCAGCAATCTGCACTCAGGTTGCAGACTTTCGAGCATCCATTTTCTTCAAGTTGCTGCAGCCTGAGAGCAGTGGGTGGAGGTTGGGAGGTTGGAGGCTGGGGGTTTTGAGCCATGTTGGGCCGTCCAGGTCTTCCAGTGACCCGAAGAAACAGCCAGCAACCGTTGGTCTGCCAAAGGGCAACCGCTGGTTTCGGACGCGGTGCCCACGTTGGGTCTTCATCAAACCCGAGGCAAACATTGCAGCAGCCATGCCGGCGACCGCGCTTGAACGCCCCGAAATCGGGTAATTTCTGTTTGGTTGTCCTTTCCAAAGACGCCAGCAAGCGTATGCTCCACAAACAAAGCACTTTGTTCACCTTTTCTTGATGTTTTTTTTCAGTTCTGGGGGAAGGTCGGATTCGCGGGTTCAGCAAACAAAGTTTGACGCGTTTCGGGTGCGGAGTTTACTCAGTCGATTCACGTCGATCGTCTGGCGGGTCGGTCATGGGAAATGCTTGCGGATCTATCCGGACGAGAGCTCGGGCACCTGGATCACCCGGTCTCACTTTACTTTTTGGGTTTGGACCATGGCTATCACACGGTTTTTTTAGCCACCATGTTAGGCGTAAACACCCCGTTGGGAGTTTTTGGCTTGATCCAGATACTGGCTGGTGCTCAGCAGGGAACGAGGGAGTGAGCCTTGCAAACCACTGAACTCGTGGCTTGCTTTAAGGGAACTTCATTCCAATTCGCATTCCCTGCTGAGCACCAGCAAGCGAGTCATTTGAGGTGTAGACCTTGTTGACTTCCTCCTGCACATGTGCCTGCTGCACAGCCCCCTTGGGCCGGAGCCTCAAGGGCGAGGTTTCTGGTTCTTCGATTTGCTGAAATGATTATTGTTTGTTTTCCCCTGGTGGTTTTAAAGGGAATCTATCACTCCTTTAAACATTATTTATGTGTTTTTTTTTTTTAATTATTTTTTTGCAGGGGACTTAAGCAAGTGGATGCGTTGCCTCTTGCGTCTGGATGTGTTACGTCCATCGCCTTGTTTGCACGCTCCATCACTTGATGAAAGCTAGCCAAGGGGCTGGGACCAGGGACGTGGTAGGTCTGTGACAGTTGGCTGGGATTGAGCAGAGGGCACATGCATCATTTCTTGGGCCGGATGAATGACGAAGCAACATTTGTGCCTGGCACATTGCCAATTCTGGCCGCCTCGATGCGGCCGGAACGAAATCCGAAGAGAGCTTCAACCAGCGGGATAGGAGCCTTTCAGCCTACCCTCTGGTCCACTAACATGGAACAGGGGTCCCTTTTAAAGGAAAATGGGTCTTCTCAGACCCCTCAGTCAGGTTGCCCGCTGGACTGGAGGCTACCTTTCACATCTGAAAGAATTTCGGCCCAGCATTGGCTGAACTCCTCGATCGGATCTTCCGGCGATGTCCGGATCGCCCTGTGTGCATCTAGGTCCCCCAGGATCGAACACCCTTCTCCCCCGTTTCTTTTTTGGGGAGATTCGGCTCCCCTTCTAACATAGACAAAATAGAAAAAAGTTGGTACCCTTAATCTAACCTCTCTACTGGAGGACCTAGGCAAAGAACCATCCAGCAGCCAAGTTCCGACTTTCCGGCGACAAGCCCACGTTTGCTGGTCAAAGAACCATCCACCAAACCTCCTAAACGAAACCAGCCGCACACCAGGTTCCAAGAAATTCTGGCGTAGCTACCTGCGAGACCAGCCACAATCCGAAAATCCCAGCCCGCCGAACTGACTGAGTTTCCGGAAGTTTGTGGGGGTCTTTTTACAGCGGACGGACCCCCTCCAGAATATCTTGTTTTTTGTTTGCCATTTTGGCTTCCCTCCAACCCATAACGGGGGAGGAGTTTCCCCCAAAACAGACAGACCCTTCGTGTTTCCCTCTAAAAAAAAGACGACATATCAACCGTCGTCGTCAGCAGCTCGTTGCCACGACTAGTGCCTTGCGGGTTCCTGGGCTGCAAACGATGGCCATCCCTGGGTTGACCAAAAGGACAATCTTAAAACCTTTGGTTTTTTAGGCTGGTTGCCACGCCTCGGGCAGAACTGGCCCGAAACAAATCTCAGGTGGCCATCCCTGAACAGCTTGCTGGAGGTTCGGAAGGCCTTGGAGCCCCAGGCGCGGGGAGTTTTTCCTCGTGGCCAACCTCGTGGCCCGGGCAAAGGAACGGAAGGAGTTCCGCCAAAGCATCCGTTTCACGCAAAGCATGTTGTGTGTGTGCACTCGTCTGTTTTTTTTTGGGGGGGGGGGTTCAAACGCTTGGATTGGTGGTCTTGAGCCATTTCGCGCAACAGTGTGATGTTTTTGTTTGCCTTTTTTAAAGAAAGGGGGGGTTCATAGTTTGGATTGGTGGTCTTGAGTTTGAACCTCATGGGGAAGGTTTGGTTGCACATATCAAGGCCAACCGGGCAATGCAATGCGTGCCGCACGTCTCATATAGCGACACACTGAACAGCCCTTTGGGTTGCAACCTCGATGATTTTCGGTTGATGGATCAGAACTTAAACAGAATCAGATCTCTGGGAGTGGACAGAGCGGCAGTTTTGTGTCACAGAAGTTTCTACCAACGCCCGATCTCACATCTTTCACGCCTTCTGCGAGGCAAGGGCGTTCTTCTAGTAAGATCTGTCGGCACGGCGCTGACCAATTCAGCAGCTGAGCACATGTATGAGTGTTGCCTATTCTATTGACTCTCCCCTAAAACTGCATGCTTTGCATGTCCAACCCACTTAGTAAGCAGGTCACATCATCATGTTAACTTTGGTGCATGTTGCTTGGATGTTAGAACTTTAACTTTTTGCCAACTAATGGGTTTTCCAATTGAAGGGGAGCAGAAAGCAACCGAGTATACTATGGTCTTCTTCCGAGGCTAATTTCTGGGGGGTTCAGTTACTACCCTTAAAACAATGGGGGTTCATATAGCCACCTTTGTTTGCCTAAGTGGGTCTACTTTTTGTTTTTGACATTTTCATGGGGGGTTCACCAATGTTGTCACACATGCAACCCTTTGAAGAGTCGGGGAAGGTCGACTCCTCGAGGTGCCTAGAGATGCCTCGTGGCCGGACTTCTACGCTGCTCGGCCGGAGTGGACCGATGAGCCGTTTTCCTTTCCGCTGCCTGTTGCAAGGGACCCGAAGAGTCTGGCAGTCGCGGACTTTCGATCGAATGAACTGGCTTCCCTTGATCCGCCAGAATGAAGATATGGGCCACCCCCTTTTTGGAGGTTTCAAATGGACAAAAGGACAACTGCCCGTTTTGGGGGGGCCAAATCCTCAAAAACGACACGCCACGCATATGGGTTCTCCCTCGATGCAAAACACAAAGCCAGAAGGCCGCCAACCGTTTGTGTTTGGGGGGGTCCTAAAAAGCAGGACGCCCTATATTGGTTTCTTCTTCGCAAAGGGAAGAGAAAACCACGCCAACGTCCAACTCCTCCACCGTTCGCCGAAATGGCTGTGGGTCAAAACCAATGATACCATTTTGGGGTAGGTGCACCACCCATTTTAGTCTTTTTTTAGTGGGGATTGGGATGTTCACTGGGGGTACGATTTGGATTTTGACCCATGGCCAAATGGGTCCAATTCCGTGCATTGAGACGCGCTGAGGTGCCCATGTCCGAGGTGGAGAAGCTGCCGCTCTTTGACGAGCCCGGCGAGGAGTCGACGTCGGTCCTGTCCCGACGAGCCTGCCTGCGGCGGGGGGTCAAACCGAGTAACAAAAATGTTTGTCCTTTTGGTAGAACCCCTTTTTCTGGGGTGGTGTGAAAGGAGGCCAGAAGGAACACCAAAAAGCATGTTGGGAAGGGTATCCGGAGTCCCCCAAAAAAAGACAAGACCAGAAGGGACGTTTGGAATTTGGACTCTGCCCCTTTGATAGTCACCCCGTTGTGGAGAAGAAGCAAAAAGGGGTGTCTAAGATTCTAGCATTCTCCCAATCAGGTCCGCGAAGGGAAGCCAACACTCAAACGACATGTTCTGTAGCTATGGTACCGGGGGCTTGTTCAAGTGTTGCCCGTGAATTTGGCCATGTTGGGTAGAGTTGCCGCAATCAAAACCGGGTAGATGAAGGTTACTAAGGGACGATCTCAGCCAGAAATAGCTGCGGAAGTCCGCCTTCTTAATTCTTGAAGCATGGTTCTGGGTCAACCATTTTTATACCAGGTTTTGATTTTGACCCAGTTTAGGATGCTTTACCCCGGGTCTCTGCATGTCCTCAAGCTTCCTTGGGTGGAGTCGCCGGCTTATCCCTCTCTTGAGTCGATGCAGTTGGGCCTTGGATGGAGCCCAAAGCACAACTCGGAGGTTCCTCATGGTTTGTGTGAACATTCGGGAACCCCGGGCAAAAAAGGTGCTCGTCCTTTTGGTGAACACAGACCAAAAGAGGGTACCCTCCAAAACTCGCTGGCTGGTTCTACCAACATGGTTGCGCACAATTTTGCATAGGCCTTGCTCTAAGCTGTATGAACCCAGGCAGTAAACCCCGATCAAATCGCCAAGACAACAAGCCTTGAGAAACAAACTGAGGTAAGGTATCCCAGATGGGAGTGTCTGTTTTTGAGACCCCCCCCAAAAAGAAAAGAGAAGAAACAAAGTGGTGGTTATTTGTTGGTTGCCTTTAAAACCACCAAACAAAGGGCATCCTCAACAAAAAACAGAACCATATTAGGGTGTTTCTAAAAATGGTGGCCCCCCTTTGGTAATAGAAAGAAAGCCACCAACTCTTTTGACTCGGGGCGGTTTCCTATTGTGAGAAACACCCAATGCACACACAATATTACCAAGTAATGAACCCACAAGATTGCCAAGCAATTCACCCACAGGATTGCCAAGTATTTCACCTATACCAACAGAGGTGCATTTTGCTTGGATGTTAGGACTTTCACTTTTTGCCAACTAATGGGTTTTCCATTAAACCACTAAAAGTTAGTCACTTTTAGCAGGGGAGCAGAAAGCAACCGAGCCAAGATACCCTTAAAAACACCCAACCAGACGTACCAAGAGACCCAAACAACCACCTATACCAAGATACCCCAAACAAATCATCTATACCAACAAACCCCCCCCCCCCCCAAAAAAAAAAGACGCGCCCAACGTCAGACGGAGCCGGAGGAGAGCTTCAGCAAGAAGTTCAAGCCCATCACCTCGGCCGCGCCCGGCGCGCCGGAGCCTCGGGGCCTGAGCATGGACAGGCGGTGGCTCTTGGAGGGCTGGGCGAGCGCGACCAAAACACGGCCGGAGGCGGCCGAAGCGGCCAACACGGATAGTAAGGGGACCAAAGTCGTGCCCATTTAGCCTTTTCTTGGGGGAGGGTTCCCCTACTAGAATAGACGCCCTGGAACAAGTTGGTACCCCTACTAGAATAGACGCCCTGGAAATTGTTGGTACCCTCATTCTAACTTCTCCACTGGAGGGCCTAGATAGTAAGGGACCACCATGAAGTGGAAAGAGAAAGGAGCCCGAAGCAGTACGAGATTACTCCTAGCATGAGGAAAGATTGGCTTTGAGGTGGCTCGCAAGGCCGTTGTAATTGTTTTGGCCCTGACAACAACGGTTTGCCTTGCCGATCGGGTCTTACCGCGCCCGGTCTTCCGCGAAGCTTACGACCTCATGCTTTGCGACTTGACACGACCAGACGGGCGTTTCTCAGAATAGGACTTGGTACACAACATCGGCTGGTGTCCTTTTGCGCTTAAATAGGAAGCAAAGGGGGACCCCTCAAGAAATGGCAGAACGCCCAGATGACCAACTCAGATGGGAGGGAGTACCTTCCAAAGATATCCGCCACATGCGCGCTAGTATCTCCGGAGGGTGCTGGTCTCTGATCGACAGGCCGCAAGGTTAAAAAAAAAAAAACTTTACTCTTGGGGTTGACAGGGATGGTCATCCGCCTGGTAGCAAGAATCAAGACTAGCGATCATGATGATTCTTATGGCAACCATGACCATAGTCCAAGCAGACGGAGTTTTGAGCATGGCTCACATCATTCCTTTCTATGGGTAACGGATCTTTGGACTTTGACTTTTTTGTGGAAATAGTTGTAGTTGTTTTTCTTTCTCGAATTGGACCCGTCAAAAGCGATTTCAACTTTTTGCAGAGGGGTCGTCAGAGCCACCGAGATTCCTCGCTCATTGGAAGTCCGTCCACTGAATCCAGGGACGCCGGTTTTTCCATTTGGGTGTTCTGGGCATTGCTCTGCTCACAACACGACCTCCTCAAGATGATAGCCCCCTCCTTGAGCCACGGCCGATTTCAGCGGCTCAGGAACCCTCCAACCCACGCGATGCTTCCCGCCACGCGATGGCTCAGGCATCCAGGCTGCCCAAGCCAGCATCCCAAAGCAAGCTTGGGTGGTTTTGCGTCTGGTCAGTTCTGCCCAAGCTGGAAGTCCCCCCTTCTAGCCTGTCATGCAAGGGCTTTTGCCCATTGTTTACATAGCCGCAGCCCCCATTTTTTGTTCACGATCGTCTTCTTTCCGGCAAAAAGCCAAAGGAAGCCACTCATTTTCGGGCCCCCCCGCACTTGGTCAGTGTTTTTCCCCGGAAACCCCAAGGACGCCGCGCATTTCTGCGTTTGGTTTTCTCCCATTCCGAGCCCCGCGTTCCGATCGCCGGGCCGCGCCTTCTGCCGAGGTTCGATCGCTCCAAGGAGCAGCTCCGCTGGGCCGCGGCCCCGAAGGATGTTGTGCTTGGGACATCATCCATAGGGAAACCAACGAAATCCAAAGCCTGGAAAGGCCCAGCAACTAGAGTACCCTCAAAATGGCACACCCCAAATCTCGGCTTAAGCAAATGGAAGCCAACCATGTGGTGCCCTTGGTGCCCAGTTGCCCAGTGGTGCCCTTTGTTCTTCTTTTTTTATGGGGCAGCTTCCCTTTAAACTCAACCGGAAAAAGAAAAGGATGGCTTTTTTTTCCCCTGGCCACTGGGCATCTGAGGGAAACCAACCCACTAACTCAAAAGGATGTGGTTGGGTACCAACTTCCATTTTATTTTCCCCAGTCGGGTTTAAAGGGAATCGATCACGACTGGACTTAAGCAAATGGAGGCCAACCACTCGAGGGAAACCAATCCATTATATAAAGCACAAGGATATTGGGTTGATCAAGCCCATACCCTCAGTGAGTGAGTCTCGTACAAAAGACTGAGCTATTTGGGGCTTGATCAATAGTCTGTTCGCGCCCCGAAATGAGGCGCACGTCCTTTTTTGGGGTTTCCCACATGGTAAACCCGTGTAGTGGGGTTGGTTGTCTTGTTGTTCAGGGTACCCCTTTTTTGGTGGTGTGTCAAGGGAAACCAAGAGGAACACTGAAATCCATTTTCGGGGGTCCCCAACAGAAACCACCCACATGGGTTTGTTACGTGCTTTGAGGGAACTCCAAAAGGGCGTTGTTTTTCTGCGGTTGCCCTGGAAAAGCCCATCAATTAGAGTACCCTCAAAACGGCACACCCCAAATCTCGGCCTTTCACTCGGGCCATTGCTTGGTGCTGTTTCTCGGGGTCAACGTCAACCGGGGTCCTTTAGCTACCATTTCTGAGGTGACTTTGATGGTAAAATCATGGCAAAGTTTGGCAGGTATCCGCCTGTCTCCACTTGCAGCGCTTGTTTGGGAAGCCAGTCAGACTGCAGGGGGCTGTGCCGCGTCCAACTCGACATGCGATAAAACGAGCTCAGGAAGGTTCTGCTGAGCTTCTGTCTGCAAGCTGCAGGGTTTTGTCCAGAGTAGCACGCATGTCTTTGCTGACTTGGTCTACTATGGATTACGTTGATTACATTTATTTGGTAAAGAATATGTTTCTCCCCTGTTGGTTTAAAGGGAATCGATTTCACTAATGGACATATGTTTTTCCAGGGGACTTGAACAAATGGAGGATTATAGTAATCCCTGCAAAGGCCTTTTTCAGCATGCGGGCAGAACAAACGTCACTGAGATTTGGTTGCTGCTGAATGTTCTTGATTCCTGAACAGGCAACCTTACCACAGAAACCCGCGGTTTTTTTTTTTTTTTTCGCTGGTCGCAAGAGCCAACTTTTCTCAACTCGCTGGCCGTCACCGGGCTTTCACCGTCACCCATCTACCGCTCACATTGTGAGAGGATCACATCGGGCCAAAGGCATTGGAGGTCTCTCCAGGACAAAAAGCAACTCATGGCGCAAGGGGTTCCCGGATAACCACTCGTTTGTTTGCTGTGCAGGTGCTGCTTGAGCCCATCCAGGGGCCAAGCTCGTAACCACTTTCCCGTCAGAACATTGGGCCACCAAGAAGTTGCCCCTCGAATTTCCTACAGGATTTCCTGAGTTTCCTGTACTTAGAGAAAAACACCCTTTACGCCTTCTGAGCTTCTTTTTGTGTGTTTCCGTGGCGGGATTTTCGGCAGAGCAGGTTTCGCCGCCAGTTTCTCCCTGTGTTTTTTTTTGGGGGGAGCGGAACCGTTTTGGGGGGGATGTGAAACTCGATGTAGAGGCCAAAAGGGACTCCGCTCCCCAACGCTCCAGGCCTCCGTTCCCCGCCAGTTCCTGCGGCTTTTTTTAACCTTTTGGTTCTTCGTGGGTAGTAAAACCACTGCGCCGCAAAACGCTTCTCTCACTTCTACCAGGGGATCGGATGCCCTCCCGCCGGCTAACATGGGATGCACAGACCCCGGTAGAAAGACGACTTTCCTCTTGGTTAGTTGGCCTTTTTGCACGAACCCATGCTAGTTGGCGGGAGGGTATCTGCCCGGAAGGGGCTTTTTTCCCCCCCCAGCTCTCCTCGCCTTACCAGATATCTGCGGCCAGCCCTGATTTTTCTGTTTTTCCCCACCCAAGCTCCAAGCTCTCCTCACCTCTCCTCACCTCACCCGAGGTGGCCAAAGTGCTCCAGCGCTTTCGGGCGCCCAGCCGCGAGTATGAGGCGGAAGCGCCTTCCGTCCGCCGGTGGGGTCTCAAGTTGGACCGGCAGGGAAGGAACGGAAGGAACCGCCACTTCTGTCCGATCTGGTGTCCTTTTGCAGGGAATCCTGAAAGAAAAACGGTTCATTCAACTAGGTCCCCCAGTAGTGCCCTTTTGCCCTTTTTTGGGGGAGGGTTCCAGTACTAAAATAGACTACAGAAAAAAAGGGTACCCTTATTCTAACCTCTCTACTGGAGGACCTAGCCATTTTTTCCGATTTGGTCCTTGTTCAGGGACTCCCGAAAGAAAAACGGTTCATTCAACCAAAACCCCGAAGCATGCCGTACTTATCGATCGCAGCAGCCAGTTTTTTGGAGCGTTTCGTACGGGGTGTGTGGACCGTTGGGGGTTGGAGTCGGTGCTCCTTTTGGTGTTGGTGTCTGAAAAGTCGGGTCTGTTTTTTGCCGAAATGGAGTCCATTGGGAGAGCTGGAAGCAGTTCTGAGCACTTTTAATTGGGAGTTGGTGCTCTTTTCAGGGAGTTGGTTGGAAGAGAAACCAAAAGGGAACAATTTTTAAGGGGGGTTCTCCTAGATGGCCGAGCCATACCCGTTTGGCTGTGCGTGCTTGGTACTCCCGTTCTGAACAAGCTGCTGAAAACACAGACGAACCCTGGGTGTATGGTGGGGCCCTACCCTCACAATTCAGCCATGGAGCAGAGGTTTTAGTCCTGCCAGAGTCAGAGTTCTATTTTTTGACCCGCCAAACCATCCCGCAATCATGGGGGGGCAGGGAGGGGATGGGGAGGGAGCCCAAATACGCCCTTATCCTAAGGCCATATTTGTGGCTTATTGGGCTCCCTCCCCCGCTCCCCTCCCTCCCCAGCCAACCACTGAACCCCGACAAATCCCAGACCCCCACACCCACCCACACATCTGCCCTAACGCAGAGGCCTGGAACCCACCCTCAGCCAGCCCTGAACCCGCCCCCCTACGCTCCAAACCCACAGACCAAGATGAGTTGCGGTGCTGCCAAGGATGCTGACGAGTGCATGCGCAAAACCGCTCCGGCATTTTAGCGCGCGGCGAACACAAAGCAATCATCTGGAAAGCAGAACCAAAGCACTTAAATCCTGAGTCAAAATGTTCTTCCCTTGCCAAGTTTTGCTTTAAGACTCACTAGACTAACAGTCCGCTGCATCGCTGCCGCTGTGCACGGACTAAGAAGCGCGCCGGAGTAAGCCTCACTAGACCATCCCAAAAGAAATGGACATGGGTCAAGATTAAACCACCAGGCGCCAGCAGGTTCAATCGTTAGTCCATGTTTTTTCCATTTACCAAACCAACCTTTTTTGTGGGTACCCGTTTTTCACCAGCCAAATGTTCCAACGAGCCGTTGCCCCATGGCACAGACTCCAAAACCACCTCGCAGGCTTGGACCCTGGAGGCAGCCTGGTACGATTACCGGGCACGGGGCGCCCAGCGATGGATACATGCCATGGGATCCTTTTTGGAGGGTGTACAGGAAATGCAACGGGGACACCCGCCAGGTTTTGGGGTTTCCCCTTGGGAAACCCGGCATTTTTGGGGGTTCCCCTGGTCATCTTTTGGGGATTTCCCTGGGAATCCCGTTAAGTTTTTTGAGGGGTTCCCTACAGAAGACACATATGGGGGGTAGTGTCAAAAGGTGCGTGATACATTGGATGGTGTTGCGAGCACAGCAAGCACAACCTCCGCAGCAACTTTCTAGAATACGCACCGGATCTCCCCACCCCAAATCCACAGAGAGTGCACGTTTGAAGAATCGAAGGTCAGAATCACAGCCTGGCTCGTCCTGGAAGATCCCGCACACAACAAACTGCTGAGACAGCCTGAGCGGTCACAACTCAACATCACAGAGGACCAATTAGAAGAAAGAGCACCGGCTCGGGCCGACAAACAACAGACCACGAGAGCCACTGAGTGAACACATAGATGTTTTTTCTTGGCCAGCACTTGCGGGTACCATGTTGTGGGTCGGTTCAAAGGAAAACTGCAAGGAAACAGCCCATTCTGTAGGTTCGCTTATTTTGAGACACCCACATGTACACACTCAGTAGCAAACATGCACTTGTTGTGGCTTGCAGTTGTTTGGCTTTTTGCTCAGCCCTGCTATTCACCGCCGAGTTCTGGTGTTGTTTGTATTCGCCTGTTGTTTCATGCACCTGGTGAGAGGGTGATGCCCTTACTCAGGGCCTGTGCCGGTGGCTGGTGGCTGCAACAAGCGGAGGATGGAAGTTCCGGCAGGCACTCCCAAGGCTGTGAACAGGGGGACGCCTGGGCGTGGGTGCGGCAACCCTGAACACGACGCCCCCTGCAAGTCTGGTTGGGATGTAGAAAATCAGGACTGCCCTTTGGACTTTGAAGACACTGGTTGGATGACACGAACCTTTCAAAGGGGTCCGATTTGTTTTGCCTGCCAAGACCTGAGGTGCGGCGACACGAGGAGACGGAGCGATTAGTAGAGATGCGCGGCGCTGAAGTGGTGTGGGGGATCACCGGAGGATTTTTCACTTGCCCCTTTACGCATTGCGCTTCCGTGCGCGTGTCTTGATATTTGGGGCGGGCCCTTTGAATGCGTGGTGTCTCGTTGGCTTCCTTTCAGATTGCACCAGGCGAAGCACTAGGACTGTGGCAAATTCAACCCCTAGAAGATTGCTTGGTGGGCCGTGTTCTGCTTTACTTCGATGGAGTTGTGCAGCACCTGGGCTTTTCTTTTAAGTTGCAACCCGTCACACCGTTTTCAAGCAGCAGCCAGATGGGGGTCCTCTTGCTTTGGATGCTCCCGGTTTCCTCTGCTCACTTTAGACATGCCCACTTGACTGGCTTGGCTTGTCCCAGTTTCTGAGTAAGGCAAGTCATTGAGCACTGGCTTGCCGCTTGACGTCAAGTTGCAGCGCCTAAACCAAGGATATCCTCATGCGCAACTGGATTTGGAGTTTGTTGGCTAGTGAATTTAACTGAGCAGCCAGTTTCCAAAGAGCTGCATGCATAGATCTGGTTGACCAGGACTATGACTAGAACACATCTGATTATGCTACCTTCAAGTGACCTCAAAACCATGGAAACCAAGAGGTGGTTCAAATGACCTTCCCTTTCAAAGGGACTTTGACAGCCACATGGGTATGGGTCAAAATGAAACCACCAGGATATGAACCGCAGGTTTTAGTCTTTGGTTCTATTTACCAGGGTTCCCAAAACGGGTACCTATTTTTGACCCATAGTCACATTTTAGCGCTCACTTCAGCGAACCCAGTTGTGAGGGTTTCTGTATTATACCCTGGGATTACATCCTTGGGAAATGACCCAGAATGGTTCATTAAATAACACGGCTTTATCCGGGTCAATACCCAGGTGTATTCCCAGGGTGTTTCTTCAAACACCCTTAGAGGTGAATTTCCCAATCCCCACTAAAATAGGTTCTAAAATGGGTGGTGAGTTCACCTACCAACCAAAATGGGATCCCAAAACCCTTAGACCAGTGATTCCTCTGTGGCGGACGGGTCCGTTCCTTTTGGCGAAGCTCTCCACTTCCATTCTCTTGCTGATGCGCAGTAGGGAATGAGGGAATGAGCCTGGGGATGCCCGAATAAAACAAACAAACAAAAACAGCGAAGCCAGCAGTTGGATGGTTTATCTTGGGGTCATTCCATTTCTCATGCCCTACTGAGCACGAGTAAGTTCCCCAGGAGGGTATCGGACCTAGGTCCCCCAGTAGTGCCCTTATCTCCCTTTTTTTGGGGAGATTCGGTTCCCTCTAGTAAAACAGACTGCTGGAAAAAATCGGGTACCCTTATTCTAACCTCTCTACTGGAGGACCTAGGGACAGAACGGGTTCGCCATCGGAGGCTGGACGACGTGCGAACTACGCCGTCGGACACTCCTCGCCAGCAAGGCACATGGCTGGGCTTAGAAGCCGTTCGCGAAGGCTTCCGTCGTGTTGGGGCTAGACGGGGTCTTGAAGTGGACCCCTATGGTCTTTTTTTCTGGGGTCTCCCCGAAAGAACAAAAATGAACAAAAAAGAGGAAACACAAGACAAACTTTGGTGCACACAATTTTCAGAAAGCACACACAAGCCCGGGATTCTTGACGATCAACTTGCTCAAATGCGACGTGGGGCTCAGGCGTCGTTGCGAGCTGGATTTTGACTATTCGCGCAAATCATATTCTAACAGCATCAATCGCCACTTGAGTTGCAGCCCATACGAGGGTCAGACTAGTACAATCTAAAGGATTGAGCCTATGTTTGAGCAAGCCAAGAAAACACCTCCCGGACTACGTAGCCTTTGAAGTGAAGTGCATAGTGCTTGGACCGCCAACTTGTCCTGAAGTGTTCCTCATGAATTAAGGCTGACCTACACATGTTCGAACGCCAGTCGAAGCCATCCCGGCCCTGCTGGCGCATGAAGACACCGAAAAGGACCCTGACGACGCCGTCTCCACAGGCGATGGAAATCGAAGGGACCGGAGGGCCCCAGCGAGTTGAGTCGTTTCTTGACTGCTAATGGGTTGGATCTTTAGACTTGGACTTTTTGGGAAGTCAAGGATTTGGTTGTCCGCCAAACCCACCAAAAGTCGAACTTTTTGCAGAGGGTTCGACAGCAGCCAAGGTCTGTGCCTTCCTGGAGGGGGTTCCCTGTAAAACCAATGGCCAGGAGACGAGTGCCGCCCTTTGTCCACTGGACTCGGGGCATGGAAATGATGAATACGCCACGCAACTCCAAGCATGGCCATGACGATAAGAATCTTGGTGGCTCCCAGCCATCCCCTTAGCTTTCTAGCTTTTTAGCTTTTTAGCTGTTTGGTGGGGTTTTCCATTTTAGCCCGCTAAAAGCCAAACTTTTTGCGGGGGATCTGAGGACTGGTCAGGAATCACGGATAGGATGAATACCATACAAACCAGCTCCGGTGGACCAGGGTGTGGGCTTTTCCACATCATTCCCCTGCAAAGATTCACCTGGAATGCAAAAATGCCATGATGTTTAGAGGCGTTTCCGAACATGGAATCCAACCAGCTCTCGTTATTAGAGAGGCTTCCTATTTGGTCCCGCCCCGTGTTTGGGTTTCGCCTTTTTTTTAGATGGGTGGGTGATAATTCTGCTTCCTGTTTGGGTCCCGCCCCTTGTTGGGTTCCGCCTTTTTGTTGGGGGGGGGGGGGGGGTCGCGGGGTGGGGTGCGGAAGATAACTGGGTCTTCCCTCTGGCTTGGCTTCCATGCTTCTGTATGACTTGCGATCGGTGCGATAGAGTCTGGGGTTTGAGAAGGAACCGGATTTGGGGATCCCCTGACAGCAAACCCAGCAGGGCTGGATTTTTTCGGTGTCATTCCTAGCACCTTATCCAAAAATATATGCTTAAGAGACATATGGGTGTGTCTTGAAATCGGGGGACGCCCGAAATGGTTGGCTTCCTTCTGGTTTCCCTTTAACCCCCACCCAAAAAGGGTACCGAGCCCCAAAAAGACGAGAGCCGGCAACGCCTTCACGGATTTTGTGTTTCCCGCTGCAGCCTAGTGGTTTGAAGTTTTATTGGAAAGCAGATTCCAAGGATCGGATTCCACATGGCCATGGCTTGCAGAACCTATGAGCGCATTTTGGTTGGTAGGTGAATTCACCACCCATTTTAGAACCTATGTTAGGGATTGTGATACTGAGGGTACGGGCTTTTGACCCATGGCCACATTGCTTTCGGCGGAAAGGATCTTACGAACGAACTGTTTGGTTGTGTCCCGGGTTAAAGTCGGCTTTCTAGAGCCCTTTCCGGTGTGTGAAGCCGACGATTGGAGGGAGACCAGAGAGTCAAAAGGAAGTCAACCCATGTTACTGTCATTGCAATTCGGTTGGATGCTTAGACTTTGTTTGGTTGAAACTAAGTTGGTGTTCCATTTTGTTCCACAAACTGATGAAACACCTTTTGCGGAGGGGCCAACAGCAACCAAGATCACCTTGACTTTGTTTACTCTGAATGGATTGAGCTGCTGCAGCATACTTCAAGCAAGTGATCATCTGGAAGCTGGGCGCATGATAGCGCCGTCATCTTCGGGGGGTTTGCGACGTCACCCAGGGGTTCCCCTACTAAAATAGACTACAGAAACAAGGCTACCCTTATTCTAACCTCTCTACTGGAGGACCATGTTTTATAATGACCCCGTATTTTCGGTTGGTGAATTATGATGGTTTGCCCAGATATTCTAGGGGTTGATTCCCTATTCGTTTCAGCCATCGTTCTTTTCAAAAACCGGATTCATTTTCCCAGGGTTTTTGGGTGGTTTTCTAGAAAGATTCGGAACCCTGAAAAGAATGGAAGTGGAAGCTACCCCTAGAGATGTGTCTGAGACATACAACGCTGGTCCACCAACAGCCTTGTGCATTTGATGAGGCGATGTTCGTGTCTTGATAAGCTGCTGCGTTGTCAAGCACAAGCTGTACTTTGGTGCATTTTGCTTGGGATGTTAGGACTTTAACTTGTTGCCAACTAATGGGTTTCCATTAAACCACTGAAAGTCAAACTTTTAGCAGGGGAGCAGAAAGCAACCGAGTGTAGCTTGCGCAAGTAACTAGCTAAACAGGCGTGCAGGTGAACCAAGCAGAATGCCGACCCTTTTGCAACAAGGCATGTATTCATGTGGCAAGGCTTATGCCATATTTGTTTTCAGGCAGACGAGCAGAAATCAACAGGCCTTGCAGTGTGCTGGATAGGCTTGAAGCAAGAAAGGGGAATCCAAGCTACAATGCGATATCCGGTCAGCATTAACCGGCAAGTGCTACTTCCACTAGCAAGGTGTGACATACTATCTGAAGCTAACGGACATTCCTGCCAGATGACTTAGCGTCAGAAACGAGTGTCAGTATTTCACAGCCAAGCCTCTGCATGTTGCGACGCAGCGACGACACCGCGCAGGTTTGCTCAAGCTTTGTGGTAAATCTGCATGTGATGGATGGCAAACCACGGAAGTGGATCCCAAAACTGCATCTTCATGGCACTGCATCTGCATGGAAAACCGTTCCACAAAAAAATCTACATGAGTTGACCTGCATGGATGAGGTTCTGAAAAAATGTTCAGCTTGGGTGCACTGGTTCCCCTTTTAGCACCCGACCGTTCTTCATGTCCAAACGTCGGCAGTGGGATCCACTTCCGCTGGCGCGAAGATTCCGGCGACCGCGCAGGCGCGAAGCCGAAACCCCGCGGATTTTTTGTTCCCGGTCGCGGGAGCTGAGTGTTCACCTCCTTTTTACCCCTGCTAGGTCCCCCAGTAGCGCCCTTTTTGCCGTTTCTTTTTTGGGGGGAGGGTGTCCCTGCTAAAATAGACTGAAAAAGGGCACCCTTATTCTAACCTCTGTACTGGAGGACCTAGGCTGGTTTCTTCCAAGTGAGACCCGAGTATGGCCTGGAAAAGGTGATATTTGGAGGAAACCAGGTAGAAGGGGTTTGGGGTTGGAATGGGGGTTCTATAAACAAATGTTGGGTGGTGCAACGGGTCCATGTCTTGAAATGGTGACTTATGTTGTGGAATGGGAGACAACAACTCCCAACCAAGTACAGGGACATATCCGATAGGCAACACCCATACATGGAACGCCCTGTCACAGTGGTTTATGTGGATGAGAAAGCGGGAGTTACTGACCAGGGCTGGCTGGGGCTGCCTCAGATGTTTACAGTATGGATCAAGACACCCGATGTTTCATAAATAGAGTGTGCCACGACAGCTCGAAACATTCTGAATGCAGTGAAACTCATCGACAATTCTCCTATGATGTGTCAAAATCCCTCCCCGGCATCCCGGCAATATCCTCAGTGGCGGAACCTGAACATGCGCACTCGATTGGGCCCAACGATTGGATGATTTGGATGTTCACTGCCAACCTCTGCCAACACAATATCATTGAGTGTACTCGCCTCTTGGCTGTTGTCACAAAATGGTTGGTTTGCCTTCAACCTGCAGTTTGAACATATGAATAGTCTGATTCTTGGTATTTGTTGCCGTTGAATCCTTATTATCTATCTTCGGGAGTGTGTTGCCTATGTTATATTTCCCTTCAGCTAAATTGCCCTTTGCCTACTTCGGCTTGAATCTTATCCGGTGGTGTGGGGGCATGGGTGTCCTTTTTAGACTAGATTTGGTTAGAAAATAGATGGGCAAGCCACTGGAATGTCAGATTGTTTTTATTAATTTTATTCCCCACGTATCACGGAAATCCATCTCTTTGTCCAAAAGTCACCTATGTTCAGTTGCGTTTCTCGGAGCGAAACAAACGGACCAGAGACCTCCAGTTGGCCGCAGGATGACCTCGGGCTGTGGCCTTGCTCCATTGCCGCCCGGAAAGCAAAGAAAACCAAACAGGGGGGAGAGGGTTTTCGCCTCTGAACGGAGTTGTTGGTGAGTTGGGTAGATGGAAGGCCTATGCCGAGGGTTTTGGCCTTTCTTCCCCTATTCCACCGGGCCCTTGTTGGGGTATATGAATAGTCCGATAAGTAGATATATATATAATCAAATTCCTAATGTTTGCATCACTCTTTTATATTCAAGGGGGAAAAAACAAATATTCATTGGTTATTAGATGTATCAAACGGAGCCGAGGGCAGCCAGTTGGTTGGGTACCCCGAACCTCCCCCCCGAGGTTCGATGAGGAACCCTTGGGGTGAAGCGGAAGAAGTATTGATTTGCGTTGAGGCTCTAACTTGAGGCCCTTTTGGATAGCCAAAAGATGGAAGACCTGCTTGGCGAGTTGTTGCTTGGAAGGTCGAGCTCAGCTGAGGCTATCCAGATTTGCTTTGAAGCACGGAGCAACTATGAGGTCTGGTTCTGACATGTTATGCCTTTCTTGACACAGGAACTCTCTTTTTGGATTGAAAGGGAAGCCAAGGGGAAACCAGCGAATTTTGGCGGGGGTGCCCTAAAGAAAGACAGACCCATACTTACACGTTACACTTTTTCTTCACGTGTGCGCGGACGCCAATGGGGTTTGAATCCGTGGCCATGGGTTTCAGGTCGAAGGGCGGGTGTTGCCGGAAGCGTGAGCTTGTCGCCCATGTTTCCCGTTTCCTGTTGCGGGCTAGTCAACCGATCCCTCTAGATGGTGGCTTTGAAAGACGCCGCATGATTTGAAATGGCACCGAACAATGGCTTCCTTTGAATATTTTGCTGCAGGGCGTAGGTGTTCCGGTCTCCTCATGGCCGACATGTGTAGAACCCGCAGAAGCAACGAAAGCTGGCCAAGTGGCCACGGATTCATAGATTCGCTGTTTGAGGCGTCAACGTGCAAAGGGGTCCCCAGATTTCCCATTGGAATTGAACTGCGCAAATTTGTGAACTGAGTTTCCTTTCTTAGTGATGTTTCTTTCGGGATATGTAGGGAGCCCTGACCGGAAAACTGGGGACCCCGTTCGTTGGGTGGATTCCAAGCGCATTTTGAGAAGCCCTCTTTTCACTTTCATGGAAACAGTCCCTCACTTGCCCTTGTTGGGCGTGTTTCGGCCTGGCAGAACCTTGTGATGGATATGTTTTTGGCTGGATGGGCCCATGTTCAACGATGGGAAGAAACCTGCGACTTCCATCCTAACGGAGTGTGCGAGATCGTGATGGCTTTCTCCCAGTCTCTGTCTCTCTCTCTCTCTCTTTCTCTCTCTCTCTCTCTCTCTCTCTTTCTCTCTCACTTTTAACAGCACCCCCTCCCCGCGCCTGAGACTCCCCTTTTTCTTCCAACCTCCACAGGACGGACCCACTGAAAAACACCGCTATCGGTCGAAGTAAGGCGCCTCTTCCTGCTATCGCCTCAGGCTGCTTGCTGTGGGTGACTACGACGACATGAAGGCAGCCGGTGCTTCTTTGGGAAATACCTTGCCTAGGTCCCCCAGTAGAGCTCTTTTACCCTTTTGGGGGGAGGGTTCCCCTACTAAAATAGACTACCGAAAAGAAGAAAAAAATCGGGTCCCCTGATTCTAACCTCTCAAATCTGGAGGACCTAGTTGCTTCAGATTTGCCCAAAGCGGAGCCACGCCCAAACCCGGGCCACTTCGAGTGGGTTGCCAGGAGCTTTGTTTCGGTGGTGCAAGGACGTGGCAGCAAGACCTACATGGCCGTGGGTCAAAACTGTTTTGGGATTTCCCGTTTTGGGGTAGGTGCACCGTGCACCACCCGTTTTATAACCTATTTTAGTGGGGATTGGGATGCACCGCCCATTTTAGTCGGGATTTTAGTGGGGATTGGGATGTTCACTGGTACGATTTGGATTTTGACCCATGGCCACAGCAAACAATGTTCTGGTCCCCATTCTTGCCAGTGATTCTTCTTTCTAGAATACCTCCGGCAAGCCAGGGAAAACGGCTAGTTCTTGAAAAGAAGGATGGTTGAGAAGAAAGTGGGAAACAAACAAGCCCTAGAAGTGTACACACGTAAGAACCCAGCGTGGGATGGGTCCGCAAAACGGTTCGCCAGGCGACCGATCGCCAGATCACGGACTCCACCCACGCACCAATGAGCAGGAGCGCCAGCGGTTGGACCAAATCCGTTCAACGCGCCAGTTGGGACTGCTAGTCCCCCAGTAGTGCCCTTTCACCAGCTTTTTTTTGGGGAGGGTTCCCCTACTAAAATAGACTACAGAAAAAGGGCACCCTTCTTCCAACCTCTCTACTGGAGGACCCAGAGTCAGTCTGTTTTTTGAGGGCACGCTTGTTGGTGGGGGGTTGTTTCACAAGAAACCCAAAGGATAGCCACCATTTTTGGAGGGTCCCTTGGAAAAAAGCACGCCAGTCCATGTTGTTGTTTTTTTTTGGGGGGGAGGGGTCAGTTTCGAGGGAGCCGAACGTTGCCGAGACCCATCCCTCTTCATCCTCAACTCCGGGATTTTGTCGGGCTTGCTCTTTGCCTTCACTGAATTGGGGGGGTAAAAACGAACGAAAGCCCATGACGAATAGGTCCTTTAGAGATCCGTAGTTCGGGATTTTAGGTTGTTAGGTTCAGAGCAAGACGTGTCAGACACAGCATTTGGGGCCCCTTTCGGTGGGGGCTCCAAATCATTGTAGACACACCCAGTGTTTTGAGTTCATGGGTCTTTTGGATGGTTCCGCTTGTATTGAATTCTAACGGGAGCCCAAAGGGCATCAAACATGGGGGTCGTGTTGGCGCGTTACCCCTACCTGGAAACAAACCCGAGTGGCTCTGCATACGTAATATATGTATATATATATATCATATACGTGTGAGTGTGTGTGTGCCTGCCCGCCTGCCTGCCTTGCTGTCTGTCTGTCCGTCCGTCTGTCTGGCTTGTGGGGTGGGTTGGGGTGGGGTGGGGTGGGGGTTGGGTGTGCTGAGACGGGCGACTTGGACTCAAGGGCCAATGAGTCACTCAGCCTTGCTTGCATTTACCAATGTGCCTTGGGCACATGGAATCCACAAGGGCGACATGCTCTTCCATTTTCTCAAGAATTTGTGTTATGGTCTCTTTTGGTTTAAAACAAATCTATCACCACTGGACATGTATTCTCATTTTCCAGGGCGAAAAAGCGAATGGACGCTTCAAGCTGTGTGATGTGGCTTTCACTCTCAACTATCAAGCGGGAAGAGTACCGTCCATTTGGTTAAGAATATGTTGTATTTTCCCCGTGTTGGTTTTAAAGGGAATCCATCACTAATATCGTGTGTTTTTTGGCAGGGGACTTAAGCAAATGGAAGGTACGGTACGGTTCTCTTGCTGGTTCCCAGGCCTCGATTTGTAAGGTTTTGAGTTGGCGTAGTCCACGGTTGGGTTTCCGCATTTCACCCACTCGAAGTGAAACTTTTTGCAGATCTGAGGACAGCCCAGTTGAGCATCTGGGTATCAGTTGAAATTCCTCAAGTAATGTCGGCTTCGAATTAGTCCGACAAGCCTCTCTAGTCAGGGAACCCCCCCTAATCTCCCTACGGGGGAACCACCCTGATGCAGATGAATCCGAGGTCAACACAGTTTCCCTAAAGGGGAGCCCAGATTCATCCGCACAAAATGAAGGTTTCTTTCGAAAGTTTTCGAGCCGGAAGCTCAAAACAGGCCAGGCATGAAGTATGTTCGTCCCCCAGTGCTTTAAAATATGCCAGGACCGTACTGGGACCGTCCTGGGTTTCAACGCGCGAAGGTCGGATCGGTCCTGGGAGCGCGGGATCGCTCTCGCGCGCCAGGAACTCCACGGAAGAAGGCAGCACATCGACACCCGCAGCCTGGGGTCCCATTGGGAGCTAGGGAAGCGACGGGATCTCGAGAAACCAATGGGTGGCTCGTCTTTTTTCTTTTTTCTTTTCTCTCTTTTTTTTTTGGGGGGGGGGAGGAGTTTACCTTTTGTTGGGGGAGTTGGTTGTAAAAGGAAACTGTTTTGCGGGGGTACCCCTTTCTTCGTAGTTTTAAGAGAGACACCAAGAGGGAAGTCCTTCATTTTTGGGGGTCCACCCTTACGAAAGACGCACCCTGAGCACTTCACCTTCTCCTCGCCAGGGAAACTGCCAGCCTTTGTACCAGGCTTCCACCCGGCTGGTCTGTCGGGCAAAGAACCCCATCAGTCTGTAACCAGCACCCAATCCATGCTTTTCGCAGCAGTTGAGATCGTGGAAAAGTGGGAAAAGGGACACTGCAAGCCTTTTTTGTACCAGACGTCCACCCGGCACTCACTGGGAGAAGGGAAACTGCAAGCCTTGGCTTTCCAATGGTTGTTGGGGGATCCTGTAAACATGTCCATGATTATTCAGTTGCATTACTTCCAAATTCAATATCATCCATTTTAGTACCATATTTATCATCTGTTGGATGTGATCCTGGTGCAGTATATCCTTTAGGAATATTTTTCAGGAAACTTCTCAAAGGTCTGCGCTGCACCTTACGCGTGGCCCGGTGCGATCCAGGAGCCCTGGCCTTCAGACCACAGATATGGGCGGCTCGCCCATTTTCTTGAGCCGCTGGTGGGTTGGCTTTCAAGCGAAGCCAAGAAGAAACCAACTCTGGGGATATCCCATATTTCCTTCTGACAGAAGCTTTGAATGGCCGAAGAAGGCCGCAGATTGGCGCGGGTGTCGCATGACCAGGTCGGCCAATGCTAGACTCTGATCCGCGTAGGTCTGGTCAAAACATGTGTCTGCGTTTGGTCGGTTTGAGAGGGATAGGGCGAGGACCCATGAAAATTGCCACAACAACAAGTTTTTGTTGCTGCTTCTGCAGGGAATCACAACAAGTTGTTTGAATGAATCTAGGGATCCCCCAGAAGAAAATCAACAAGCTCATAGGGGTCATTGCCTTATTCCTACTGGGTATTAGCAAAAACAAATCTTCACAGCTGAGGTGCGCATGGACAACACGGAGGACGAGTACATGTCGGACGTCTTCGAGGCGGGCGCCGGACGCCTCGTCCGACTCGATCCCTCGACTCGCCAGCTGAGGTCCGAGCAAGCCGTTCGAAGGGGACGAGCGTTGCGTCGCTGGTTTCCTTCCAAGGTCCAACAAGCAAAACCCACCATACGGGGGTTTGTCAAAAATATGGCCCCTTGTTGTACCTGGTGCCGCAGGAGCCGCCTTTCAACTGGGCTAGCAGTGCTAGCAGAAAAGGCCCCTAATTTTGACGACCCCCCCCATATGTTCATAGGCACGGCTGTAGGCTGCCCAAGCGAACAGTTCAAGAAGGCAGGAACCTCACACATACGCACATGTTCCATGGGAGAAAAGTTTCAACTGGGGGTGCGTCGCCGTCAAAAAATGCCCCCGCTTTTTGTTGGCAGGTCAATCCGAGAATTTGACGGAAGCTTCCAGACCTGCCATGTCCAACCATCAAGCTTCCATGAATATTGTGCTTGGCCGGCAGCTGAGTTTCCCTTGGTGCTGATGTTTCTGGGGGAAACTTACTTCCTGAGTGCTGGGGACTTTAAACTTTTTGGGTAGACCATTTGGGTGTGGCTCAAAAGCTCGGGTTACGCTGGTTTTAGTCTTTGGTTCCGTTTACCCACAGCCATTTCAGTGGTAAACAATAGGCTCAGGTGATATCCCCTAACACGTCTTAGAGCCCTTCCTCGCGCAACCCCCCTCGGAAATGCCCTGTGCATCCCCGGAACCCTCGCGGAACCCTCGCGGAACCTTACCTCAGAGCCGCTGACCGCAGACTCTTTCAGCTGCTGGGGAAGAACATGAGTTTTCTTGATCCATGCACTCCGCAAGTATGGCTGTGCCTCACAAAATGGTACCCAACGTGGCACCTTGTATAGAACCAAAGACTAAAACCTGCGGTTTGCCCCGGAGTTTTAGTTTCGAGCCACACCCATATTTTGCTGGTAATCAGCAAGGAATGCCCCAGGATTTTGGGAATGAACCTGCAGGGAGTCCCCTTAAAAGAAACCACAAGGGATGGTTTGTTCCGTTTCTTATTCCCTGCCTATGGAACCAGCACAGAGGCAGCGACGTTTTGTTGCCCAGGACGCCTCCCCAAGGACCGGCGCTTCGAATCGAGACGGGTGCTTCTTTGGACCTCGGGCAGCGAAAGTCACCTGACAGGGAAATCGGCAAATCTTTGAATGCCACGTCGTTTTGCAGGGCTCCTTAAAAGATCTCCATTTTGTCCATTTGAAACATGGCTCTTTTCGCCAAAATAAAGGGAAACCACCATTTACAAGGCAATGTTCAGGTGTAATGTAAGGATCCCTTTTGTTGGTGGGGATCAAAAGGTCCGCCAACCACTGTTCAGGGGGCTCCAGGTGAAAATTCGAATCGCCAGATGTCAACGCAATTCGTGTGTTCGTTGCGTCGTGCGGTTTCTAGAGAGGTTGGTCCAGTCTGGCGTCTCGGCGGCGACTCCCCTCCCCTCCCCTCCCCCATCAAAGGCGACTTTTTCTGGGGCCCCTTTGTCTCTCTAGTCAGCAACCGCTTGGGTTCCCTTTGATGGGTCCCCCATGCCAGGAACAGGATCCCACCTTGGGACACCTCCAGGTCGGGAGATCGCCGGTCGCTGGATTTGGTGTTTACATATGAGTTAGCATCAAAATTACCGTCATGTACTTGATATGGGAATGTTTCAGGCACGTATTGGTTTGCGTTTACAAGTTTACCAGAACCCACTGCATTTAGTTTGCGTGCAAACCGCACAGGCGCGTAGCCGCCTTGGAGTACGGAGTTATAACCACGTCTTTTCCAACATGCAAGCTGCAGCTGAAATCCCTTCGGAGGTGACTTTGGAGCCTAGCCGCGACACTGCTCCCATGTATTGGAGGGGGCAGTGGAATGAGGCAGGGCGAGAACGCTGGGACCATCAGGTCAAGGCTTTGGGCTTGCACGAGACTGCCCTCACAAGGCGGCTGCTCCCAGATGGCGCCGGTAAAGCATTCGGGAAGGTGAACGAGCGCTGCCTGATTGAGAAGAGGCGCAAATCTGCTCTTAGGCAAAAGCAGCGGAGGGCTCGAAGGCAACAGCCGTTGGAGGAGGACTCTGTGTCAAGCACAAGTTTCTTCTCCTCGAGCGCCAGCTCAGGCTCTGAGGGAGACTAAAAGGAATCTGCGGCCCGGCTTTGCTTGCAGAGATTGCTCTTCGGCCGCCGTGTGGTTTGATACCGGGGAACGCCCGCCTGTGGGAGCTTCCATTCCGTTGCTGTTACGTTGGCGCTGCCCCCCGCAAAGAACCGTTTGGTAGCAAGCAAGGGGTCAGGGATGTGTCCCGTAGCCACGGCCTGCAAAACGATACGGGACGTCCTTTTTGAGCAAAACCTGTAAAGCGATACGGGACGTCCTAACACCGAATGAATACACCCCAGACAAGTAATTTTGACGCTGTCTGATATATATATATATATTATACAATACATGGTACCTCAACCCCATGAACCCAGGTTTGATGAGTAGATGTATATATATATATATATGTATGTACATAGACACATGGCTGTGTCTCTTATTCTATTCTGGGTGCCCTTTGTTGGGGGTTGGTGTACGAAGGGACCAAGAGGAACACCGCCACAAAAGGGGGCGTTGCCCTAAAACGGGCATGATAATATGGGCTTGTCGTTTCATAGCAATCGGACCCATTTGATACAAAACGTGACGTGGCAAAGGTCTTCTTTCGGCTTCCCTTTGAATATCAGCCAAAAGGAATATACGTGGGTGTTTCCCTTTTTCATTGTCGCCGCTGGTTTCCTTTGCGGGAATGTGTCGTTTTCGGGGAGGGATGCAAATGAGGCTGGATGGACAAACAGACTGTTCTCTGGATTCTTTTTTTGGGGACTTGCTAGCTGCTAGGTTGGAAGCGGTTTTGCATTCGTTCATTTGTGTATCTCTTTGGTCACAGTTGAGTGGCACTTCAGCAGGTTCTTAGTAGCACATGTGCTTCAGGCTAGTCATAGCTTCATTTCAATACTAGTTGAACTGAATGTTGGTTTATTCTGTTTTTAATGTGGCGCTACTTTGTCAAGCCTTGGTTTTTCTGCCTCGTAGAGCCAATAAAGTAAAATAATGAAAATCAACCTGCAAAAGCAACGGTGTTGTCACTGGCATTTACTTTGTACTTTCCCCAGTAAAAGAAGCACTTGAGCCAGCAAAAGGCTTGGACCCATAAAAAGGTAACACTGCCAACCGCAAGACCATTTTTGTTGGTGTCGGCGGTTTTTTGTCGCTCATGTTCACTCTTTTCTGAAGCCTCCCGAGCTTGAGCATGGAGTTCTGTCCGTGTTGCAAAATGCCAGGCAGCGCCTTAAATCATGTCTGGATTCAAGATTCTCAGGACTCAAGATTCTCAGGACGCTGGCTTTTAATTTTGAATCCAAGCCTTGTACTGGCAAAAGAAAGCACGCTCTCAAGCGCGTGAACATGCGTGAACGCTATCTGCGGTCCTAAGAATCTTTGGTTGAAGGTTCAAGCAAGCCACCTTCTATCTCACAGGCTGAAAAAGGTGGGTTTTGGATGGGGGTTGCATAGATGGTATACAAATACGTAGACGAGTTCGATCTCTTTAGGCTGCATGAACTACACATAAAGACGCCAAAGCCGACGAGTTTGCTTCTACAGGCTATCCAGGCGCATGAAACATCAAGTGCATGGAATGGCTTCCGGAGTTCGATTGCGGCAGTCAACTGAGTGGTTGACGTATCCGACCTCACCACAGCAACCGGACGGTGGCTTGATCCTTGGCGCAGGGCTAGAATCCGCTATCACACAATGCCCAGCGAGAATTGTGAAGCGTGGGAATGTGTTAACCTGGTGTTTTTTATGTGAGCCGATCAAGTTGCACATAGTTTGCTTTTGTTTTCCAAAGATGGAGGGCCGCAAAATGAAACCAGGGAAAGCCACACGTTTTGCCTGAGATCTTTTCAATGCCCCCCCGCCTCCGTCTCTGAGCCTCGACAATTTGACCTGTGGGGAGCCAGAAAATGGTCGAATTCCAGTCTTCACCAAGACCCATCAAACGTTTTCAGCTTTCCATCTTTATTCATCTTGATCCTAGGTCCCCCAGTAGCTCCTCTCGTTTCCTTTCGGCTCGAAGCGAAGCGAAGGTACGAGAAGCTCCGGGTGTTGCGTGCTGCGTCCAAGCACTGGTCCAGCAGCTGGGCCGAAGCCGAAGCCATTCTCGCAGTACATTCCCCTTGTGACCCTTGACCATGGCAGGGTGTTTTGGTCCACAGACCAAGGAAGCTGCTGGTTTTTCTTCAACCAGCTGCTGAGTTGCTTGTTGGAGTTGATGCTCGAGTAGGTTTGCTCGAGCCATTTGAGAGCAACGAAGTTGCTACACGTCTGAACAGCTTGAAAGTGCCAGCAGAATAACACTCGTTTGCGATCTCTCAGCTTGTCCTCGCACAGTGAAACCAATGTGCTTCGTGTTGATCTTGCCTTGCGTTGCATTGAACCACAGATCTTTAACTAATTCGCTTACTTTCTCTCCTCGCATTGCTGGCCTGGCCATGTGTTACTGGAGACAACCAAGTGCCGCGGTCCTTGCGGGTCAACTGCTCCAACTGTTGCGAAGGCGAACGCATCCCGCGTTGATGACGGTTGCACTCCTTGGACTTCACCACAATGATGGTGATCACTTACACCCGACAGCTATCTATATCATGGTTATGGATCAAACTTAAACCACCAGGGACGGCAGATTTTGGTCCTTGGTTCCATTTACCTTCTTCATGCGGCAACGTGTGCTGCTTTCCAAAACCGTCAATCCGGTACAGGGAAGACGGAGAACCGCCCGTTTCAGGACATCCCGTCTTTCACAGCCAACGCCCAAGTTTCAACCCCCATTAAAGAAAGGTTGGCCCAAATTCGATGATAGTTCTTAGGTAAACCATGGTGGTTGTATGAACCCAACAATGTTTTAATGGTGGAGTTGAATCCCAGAAGAAAAGCCGCTCTATCTGAAAAGATGTGCAATTCAACTGAGGCCAAATCGAGATCCACTTCGATACTCTCCAGCACAGGCTGCTACAACCATGGGCTGCGTCGGAGTACCTCCTCAATTGCAGACACTTTCTAGGTATTCCAATAGTGCCATTTTCTCACCTTTTTTTGGGGAGGGTTCCCCTACTAAGATAGACTACAGACAAAAGGGTACCCTGATTCCAACTCTCTACTGGAGGATCTAGCTTTAGATTTTTCCATTGCGCCTTTTGTTCATTGGAAGGATGACCGTTCCGGAGAACAGGGCACCACCTTGAGACAAAGCATACTTCGAGTTCCCCTACCATCTAGACGAGTGCAACCTATTTTTGGGCTTTGGCTTGTTTACGGGTGGCTTTGGGGCTTCCATCCGTTTTTTGGGGTAGGTGTGTGGCCGTGAAGCGCTTCACGGGCCAGTGGCGCGGGCCCCGGAGTCGACGTGTGTGAGTGTTGGTGCGTGTGCGTGCGTGCGTGTGTGCCTGCGTGCGCGTGCGTGCGTGCTTCCGTGCGTGCGTGCGTGCGTGCGTGCGTGCATGGCGGGCGTGCGGGCGGGCGGGCGGGCGGGCGGGCGTGGGTGTGTGCGTGGGTGCGTGGGTGCGTGGGTGTGTGGGTGCGTGCGTGGGTGCATGGGTGCGTGGGTGTGGGGTGTGTGGGTGCGTGGGTGCGTGGGTGCGCGGGTGCGTGGGTGCGTGGTTGCGTGGTTGTTGGGATGACCCGGGAGGCTGCTAAGTGCTATCATTGTTGACTGAAATGCTATAGACTTATAAGGTCGTACGAACATGTTTACAGGTCATGTAACCAGGTTGCAAGTTGTATAAGCACAGTGTAAGGCCAACAAACATTTATGTTGATTAGCGCACTTAGCCACAAGCTTAGCTGGTAAGTAGCATAACCTCAACAAGGGATAAGGCAGGATGGTATAACCAACTTACCAAGGTTAGCGTGGTTATATCTTACACACTTAGCATGGCTATGCATGGATAGCTAACCTCGCTAACCTCTTTTTCAACAAACATAAGATATGCCTCGTTGTTTTTTTTTTTTTGTGGTGGGAGTGTGTCATCTTGGATCTTGGGTTCCTGGGAGCACCCAGGCATTGAGCAATATATCCATTGGACATGATTCTTGTACATGAACAAACAAGAAGCCAGTTGGCTATTCACACGTACAAGCACATGCATGTCGGATTCTGATCACTCATTGCTATTAAAGTGCATGATTGCATTGGCAGTCTGTGCTTGCAGTTGCTGATTGCAGTTTGAGTAGGACCATGTTGCATGCATGAACAAGTGGATCACATGGAGCCAGTACGCTAGAACTGTATGAGCCAGCTGCCCAGACTTGCTTGCCGTGTTGTCATTGTGGTGCTGCATGAGGGGCTCATCATGGCTGATCTTGAGCTCCTCGCTCTTGCCAGCTGTTTGGTATTTGTGATTTTGTAGCTTCTGTAGTGCCATCCATAGCAGTAAGAATGTGAAGATGAGCATCCAGAAGGTTCTGGACAGTGCTCAGGAAGAGGTTGGGATCCTTTCCAAGTGGCTGAGTGTGGAAAAGAGTTTGCTCAGTTTGGCCTTGCCAACAAGAGCAAAGAAAAGCCACAGAACTTCTTGGTTCACCCTAGCAACAGGCATGGGCAAGGCATCAATGCCTACAGCTCACACACCAAGGGGTGTCTAATTGTCAAGAATGGCGCAGACCCTGACACGCTCCTCAAAAGCACTTCCTTTGAGTTGAGCAGCATCAAGAGGAAAGGGATTCCCAGTTGCTTTTCAATTCGAAATTGGTTTCTGCAAGTGAAGGCTACCTTGCTCCTGTGCAAGGTACTGCGCGGTTTCTGACAGTGAGCTCTAGGCGCACTGTTCCGTTCCTGAAGTGCCTTGCAGTGGGAGGATGCAAGACTCCTTGAGACTTCTTTGCAAGATTAAGGTTGTGTACCACCAGCATCTTGTCCAAGGATAAGTATGTCAAGGACCTGGTGCGCGAGGGCTGGTCATGGACAACGCAAGTCCTCCAGTGTGGAACAGACCTTCCCAACCCTGCCTTCCTTGGCCAGGAAGCCCTGCATGCTTTCAACAGCAGCTTCAGGCACAGAGGGGGTTGGAGGTTGCCATCTCCATTGCTGAGAGGGCTGAGGGCTTGCAAGGGCTGGGGGCACTGTGGATTGGGAGCTATTGGCAGCAGGCTTGCCAGCCTTGACCTGCTTAGGAAAAGCCGTGCAACGCTCCAGGGTACTTGAGCAGCTTGAAGCTGTGGAATTGGTGCTGCTGACGCAGACGACTCTGATACTTTTGACACTTGTTCCATGCTGCCGATCGTGAACGCTTTCCTTGAGGAGTCCACCTATGGTGAAGCCGCCCGGGTCCTTGGAGGCCAAGAGATGGAGAACGTTGAGAAGCGCAAGACTGTGCTTGATGACAGCACCTCCTCGATCGACGTGCCAGACAGTTTGTGGAAGGACAAGTTGGCGGACGACTCATCGTGGCAAGCCATATGGGAGGTGGCCAGCAATTCCGTGGCGTGGTGAAGAGCGCCACTGAGCAGTTTGAGAAGATTGAGCAATAGGGGAAACAGCCAGCGAGTGATTCGATTTGACTTGACTTGATTTGATTTGATTTGATTTGATTTGAATTGACTTGAACTGATGTTATTTGCTAATTGGCTACTCAGCTGCTTGACGGAGGGATTGAGTGAGTGGCTCTTGCATTGCCCCGCTCCCACTTTGCTTGGAACTTGAACCTTTGAATTTGGGAAATACCGAACTCCGGATGTAGGAGCTCTGCTAGTCAGCGTGGTTTTCTTCTTTTGCTAAGGCTGCTACAAGCTGCCAGTCATCTAGTAACTTAGTAACTCGTAACTTGCGTTTGGCTGCCTAGGCCAAGTCAGTTTGGCGCCGGAGAAAAACCTGTTGGACAACTGGCGCTGAGTGACTGTGAACGACTAAGGGCTCGGGGCTGGTGGCTGTGTGACAACAACCTGAGGCAACCGAACAATTAGGGTGGGAGGGGGTTGCCTTGTTCCCTTCAGACTTGTTCTCATAAGCCCCCTGTGTCAATTGTTTGTTTCGTTGTTACACTGTTACCTGTTACATTGTTACATTGTTTTTGCAGGAAAGGCACGCCCCCTTTCTTAAACACTTCGTGAAAATCACTCAAGTGAGATGTTCTGGAGGTAGACGGGGCGAGTTTCAGCTACACAAGTAATTATTGTGTGCCAGGAAGGGTGCCTTGCAGAGTTTGGCTCACCGAGTTTGTCAGCCGCAATTTTTGCTAGAGCCAGGATGGCAACATGGTGTGGGAATGGCCTGAACGTGGCTAGACGGGTCCTTCGTGTTTGGTGTGTGTGTGTGTGTCTGTGTGTGTGTGCTAGGCCTGGTCATTCGGCGCGTGCTACCTATGCCGTACGGTTTGCCAGCTTCAACTTGCCTGCCAGGCCGTGACAAGCTTGGACAAGTTTGCCTTGACGTTCTTGGACGGCATTCCTGAGTCGGAGCAAGGTGCTTACCGCAAAGCCTTGGGCGACTTGCAGCACGGCCGCGCGTTTGTGTGTGAGGCGCTTCTCCTGCACTTTTTGGGGGGCACCTTGGGCCAAAAAGTTGGAGAAGCGGCTACTGCGCTGATCCGCAGTCAGCTCAGCCTGCTGGCTGGCGGGGCGTTTCTGGATAGTAGCGTTCACCCTGTGATTTTGCAAGCTGCCAGGGAGGTCATGCCAGTCAAGCCAGCATCAGCGTGAGGTGCTTGTGCTGAGTTTTTCCGCGCTTGTGATTGCCGCAGGCCGGCCTGCCACATGTCTTTGTTTGGAACGGGAAATCTAGATTCTAGATCCTAGACTCTACTGGTGCTTGTCAAGTCGCCCGGGCTTGTGTGAAGTCGCCCGCATAAGGTGTCCCCATGCAGATTTGCGTTCAGACACATGTTCAAGTAGTTATTGGAACAACGTATGTCATGAGGTTTCCGTTAGTGTCCCCTTGTGTTTTGCCGAAACAGTGCAGATGTTCTTTCATGGACAGCCAGCTTTCACGCTTGGAACTGTGTCCAAACAGGCCCTGAACGAAGCATAAAAGAAAGGGACAATTGCAATCTGTGTGGCGCAGCATCGAAGAAGCGCTTGGAAACAAAATCCGGCAATCAACCACGCTTGTTCCCCTGATTTGTGTGTTTGGCTGCTTGAGACATGTGGCGAGCATATGTTGGCCACACCCAACAGGCGTGTCGCCACGGCGCAGTGCATATGTGATGAACATTGCTACATATTTGCTCAAGGTTTGGAGCCATGCAGACGCCGCGCAAGCGCAAGCATTTGAGCTTTTCATTTTGTCGAAGTTCCCGCCAGACCAGCGTGAGCGGGTCAAACCGGGGGGCAGTTCTTTGTGCAGGAGTTACGAGGCAATCGCAAGCAGTCTCTTTCTGCGCGTATGAGAATGAAAGTCATTGGGCCTGTGCCAATGAGAATTAAGCAGTGTTATATTTGTTCAGCGGCAAGGTTTTCCCATGAGGTTCGGATCTTGCGGGCCTTGCTGTTTGCCAGTTTTCAACTTGGTCCGAAGGTGTCCCCTCTCTTCCAGTGCTGTTTGATCGTTCTCAACTTGGGTTCCAAACACACCCCCGTGCTGGTTCCCTCTTCTGGGCGTGCTGCTTGCTTGATTTCAACTTGGGATCCAAATGGGTGTCCTCATGCTGACTCCCTTTCCCCAGGCGCTGCTTTTGAGTTGTTTTCAAGAAGGCATGAAAATGGCGTCCCCATGCTGGTTCTTTCTTCTGTGAACTGTTGAACAAGCTACATGAAGACTCCTCGGTCTGGCTCGCCTGAACTTGGTGTCACAGCGGGATGCTGCCTTTTATGGGTGACTTTACGCGATCTGGGGTGACTTTGCACTAATGTGGTGTCCCCATGCGCGTGGGTGACTTTACGCGGGCGTGGGTGACTTAACGCGGGCGCCAAGTAGGTTCTAGATTGATCAGGGAACTGTTGGTCGAGTCGAGTTACTTGTTATTGATGATTTGTAATAAGGCTTTTTGTAAGGTAGCAGCAAGTTGCTCCGTGTTTCCTGTTTACTAGTTACTAGTGGTGTACTTTATTGAATTTTATTGGTGTTGTTGGGCAGGAGTGCTGTCAGTGATGGCTTGGTGCTATCTTCTGGGTGTGTCTGTCACAAAGGCATTTGCATTTGCAGGGCAACAGCATCAAAGCCGGCCAGATTCGGGCGCATGCAGACTTTCAACAAAGCTGATAGCGCAATATGGGTTGAGTCTTCAACCATCCAAAGCTCAGTGGTATGGACTTTTCTCAAACAAGATGGAGTCTACAGAATTTTGGTGCCTTTTATGATGAGAAAATAGGTTTCGCACTTTGGGGTGCTTGTGTGCTGAAAAAAGCTCGCAGCAGCAGGGCATGGCATGGCTCTAAATAGTTGGAAGCCCCA